AAAGAAACCTTTTTTTCAAATTTTTTTAGAAAAGATTACAATTTCTATAATCTTACTTGAAACGCATCAGAAACATTAATAGATATGTTACATATCATACACATAGAAATTACAGTCGCCACAAACTGTCTCCAGTAAATATAATTTTATTGTTTGTGATCTGGATACATTGTTACCCAACCCTTAATTGTAACACTTGCTACCTTATTCAATGTGTGCAACGTGTATGTACATGTTGAAATTCGCACATTTATACGTGCATTCTACACAACATTTGTGAATTACATCACTCGGCCAATCATAGATCAATGGTTTATTCTAACACTATCGAAAAGAAAAATTTTCTATATACACAAAGAAGGCCAGAAGCGTGCATTATTCTACAACAATGCACTCGCCGTTTTTATTATCTCCCTGTGTATTTTCACATTGAGGGCGCCATTTTGTTTGAAAAATCTGATAAATAAAAAAAAAATTTTTTTTGTCGAATTTTGTTGTGAAAACTATCTTGAATGAAATAAAATGGTCTTACTAAGAAAATGAATCCGAACACCAATATCTTTAATTTAGTCTCCATCTTAAATGTGTTGATTGTTGATAGAAATACTATAACTAGCATATACATATCAAAACCGAATATATTACAGTTTTATTGATCTTTTCATAATTTATGTTTTGAGAAAATCCCCCAGTTTATTACTTATTACGAAGTCCGTTTACGAAGTCCGTTGAAGATAGAAAGGTCTATTACCATACATTTTGATTTATCTGGATTTAAGGCCATATTATTTATTTTGCACCATTTGTCAATGTTATTTAAATGATCTTGAAGTTTTATTTCTACTTTTGATATATTTTCTCCGGACTCATAAAGAGTAGAATCGTCTGCGTATAAATCAATTTTTATATCATTACCAATGAAAGCTATGTCATTTATGTATATTAGAAATAATAAAGGTCCTAATATTGAGCCTTGTGGAACACCGGAAATTATTTTCATTGTCTGAGATTGAAGATTACCTATCTTAACCAGTTGTATTCTGTTAGAAAGATATGACTTAACAAGAGCTGTCGGTAGGACAGCAACGCTCGACTATTCTTAGTGCTTGATTGTAAAAAATAATGCTTGATACAGTTACCTCCTCCTGTTTACAGGTTGGGGTAATGATGGTGAACAAGTGTGCAAAGTTTCAAGGCCATATGTCAATGGACTTTGAAAATATTTGAGGTATTACAAAAACTTTAACATAAATTCTAAGTCCAAAAAGGGGAATAATTCTGTCAAAATGCTTGATACAGTTACCTCCTCCTGTTTTACAGGTTGGGGTAATGATGGTGAACAAGTGTGCAAAGTTTCAAAAGCCATATGTCAATGGACTTTGAAAATATTTGAGGTATTACAAAAACTTTAGCATAAATTGTAAGTCGAAAAAAGGGGCATAATTCTGTCAAAATGATTGATACAGTTACCTCCTCCTGTTTACGGGTTAGGGTAATGATGGTGAACAAGTGTGCAAAGTTTCAAAGCCATAGGTCAATGGACTTTGAAAATATTTGAACTATTACAAAAACTTTAACGTAAATTCTAAGTCAAAACAGGGGCATAATTCTGTCAAAATGCTTGATACAGTTACCTCCTCCTGTTTACAGGTTGGGGTAATGATGGTGAACAAGTGTGCAAAGTTTCAAAGCCATATGTCAATGGACTTTGAAAATATTTGAACTATTACAAAAACTTTAACGTAAATTCTAAGTCAAAAAAGGGGCATAATTCTGTCAAAATGCTTGATACAGTTACCTCCTCCTGTTTACAGGTTGGGGTAATGATGGTGAACAAGTGTGCAAAGTTTCAAAGCCATATGTCGATGGACTTTGAAAATATTTAAACTATTACAAAAACTTTAACATAAGTGGTTACGCCGACGCCGACGCTCGGGGTACTACAATAGCTCTACTTATTCTTATCGAATAGTCGAGCTAAAAAACTTAACGGCATTTTCAGAAAAATGATTAAGTTTATGCAAAAGTATTTCATGGTCAACCAAATCAAAGGCTTTCTTTAAGTCTAAGAATACAGTCCCGATAATTTTTCCACTGTCAACATCTTTTAACCAAGTATCTATTAAACTAATGAGTGCAGTATTACATGAATGATTTTTACGAAATCCTGATTGTTTATTATGAATTATGTTCGGTTTTTTCAAAGAATGAGTGTATTTGTTTGGCAATATGGCGCTCAAATATTTTGGATATAGTTGACAAAATTGATATCATTGATAGTTATTTGCTTCATTCTTATCCCCCGATTTAAAAATAGGTACAACTCGAGCTCTTTTTAAATCATCTGGGAAAATATTAGATTTAATACTATTATTGATAATTGATGCAATTATTGGTGTAATATAATCTCCACAATATTTGATGATGTTTGGTCCAATTCCATCTAATCCTGTAGATTTTTTAATATTCAGTTTTTCAATAATAAGTTTTACTTCAAACGGTGTAATTAATTCAATATTAAATTCATGATATATTAGCTTTTGGTCTAAAGTTTCTTTCAATTTTGAAAAATTTGTATTTGAAAACTTTGTTTTATGTATGACATTCCAGATATTGACAAAATACTTGTTTAATTCATTTATAATATTTACAGTTCCGTAAATTTCTTTATTACCTGTCACTAGTCTGTCTGGCATTGTAATACAACCTTTTTTATTTAGATTTGAAACGTCCTTTAAATTTTTCCATAAAAATGCCGGATCTTTGTTATTTTTAATAGCATTGTTAAAGAAATCTCTTTTACTTTTTTAATCATTGATGTTATTTTATTTCTGAGCAATTTGTATTGTTCATTGTATTGTTTGCATGTTTCCCTACTTTATGATAGTAATTGCGTTCATGTATAAGATATTTTATCTCATCAGTTAACCATTCCGGGCGGTGTTCACGTTTGATACGTTTTTCTTTTATTGGTGCATGCTTTTTCAAGATAGTATTTAAAATGGAGTAAAATAAGCTAAGGGATTCATTCGGATTAATTATGTGCTCGACTAATTCAAGATCGGATAAAGCAAGTTTTTAAAACATCTATATTTAATCGAATTATGTTCATTAATCAATCGGGTACATGCTTTCGTTGATCTTGAAATACCTATCGGATAATGAGGTATCAGAAACAAACGATTCAATAATATATCTGCTACTGTTTGTATAAACATGATCTATAATTTTTTGGGTACGTTTTGTTATCCTAGTAGGATCTGTGATAAGTTGTTTCAAACCATATTTCGTTATCAAATCACCCCATTTTGTATTGTCATATTTTTTCTTTTTATTCATAAGATAAAAGTTTATATTGACATCTCCTAGAATATGATATTCTATATTTGATATATCTATTATACTTAGTTGTTTTTCATAATCATCAATCCAAGATTGATGTACATTTGGTGGGTGATATATAAAATTTAAAAGAAAAGGTTTGCAATTTGGGTAAATAATTTCCAACCAAACATATTCTAATTCGTCCGTTTCTATATCGTAACGGCGCCGATATGGCACCTTGTCAGCAATATATATTACAACTCCCCCGCCTTTGTGACAACTTTTATGGTCCTTTCTTTCGTGTGTGAAATTGTTAATATTTAATTCATCGTCTGTTGTATCATCACCAAGAAATGTCTCAGTAAAGCCGAAAATATCTGGCGAATTTAATTTGTTTAATAGATTGTATTTTATTTCGTCTATTTTAGGCATTAAGTGATTAACGTTAAGGTGTGCAATATGTAAACCTCGTTTTTCAAACTTAGAATTGAACAATTTATTATCTGGAAAATTTGATTTATGGAGCGTAACATTATTTAGTACTTTGCAATTATATTCATCATTTCCGTATTTATTGTATGGCACTGATTGTTTAAAAGTAACAATTTGATTACCAGATGCAATAGTGTCTATAAATTTTCGTTCTTTTACTATCAAATGATCAAATCGATAATTTTTCGCGTATTTAAACATGTGTAAAATATCAATTGTGGAATACAACATAAAATCGTAACATACATTATAAATTGATATATTAGTTTGAAAATCGCTATAAAGATCTTGTTTTAATATAGATTTATAAGTAGTTACCTCATTATGAATACAATTGTATGTTTCAAATTGTTGATTTTCAAAATTTGAGTGCCTGTCGGATATTTCCTAATTCCTATTTATTCTGACGCTATTCTGTCCATAATAACAATTTTCACTTTTGGGTCTTCTGTCATTCGCAAATACACTTCCGGTTCTGGTGTGGCGATCAGTATTATTAAGTGAAGTCTCACTCCATGAAGTTTGGTCATAGAACCTAGGTCTAAAAAAGTTGTGAACCTTTTCATGTCTGTTTAAATTATAGTGTCTGTATCTCGGACTGCCTGCACCTGAGTTTTCTTTTCCATTGTATCTCGGCCGCATTTCTCCATTAGCATGATTCAATTTCCTTTTTACGATGTATACGCACCGATTTATTGCTGCCACAAGTGTTTTGGATCCATATTTATTGTGATGTATCCCATCTCTAGCTAATAGTGCTTAATACCTACTTATGTATCAGACAGTAACCATTTATACAAGTTTGTTCTGGACCACCTAAGGTCCTGTATAGTTTGGTCATACATTCATCTAGTGGTTCTGGACCACCTAAGGTCCTGTATAGTTTGGTCATACATTCATCTAGTGGTTCTGGACCACCTAAGGTCCTGTATAGTTTGGTCATACATTCATCTAGTGGTTCTGGAGGAGATGTTATTTAGATGTTGTGGATAACAACAGACCATGGACACAATGCCATCACAAAAGCACAGGTGAGGTAAAATAACATGAAGGAAAATTCTAATTTCAAAGGGACTTCATTCTGGAGATACTGCTTCTAGAGTTATGAACCTAGTAATATATGATGTGGTTGATGATCAGGAACATATTATTAAAGTTAAAATAAGAAATAAAGAATAAAAATATTTTACTGAACAAATAACTTTATTCAGAAATTTTAGAAATTTGGATGTGGACACAGACACAAAGCCAGAATGAACAAATACATAGCTCCCCATATATTTTGAAGAGCTAACTATGATATGGCAAATAAAATTACCAAGCATTTGTATAAATAAGTGTTATAGTATGCATTCATTAGTGCAACAAGTACTTAAAAGATAAGAATCAGGTCTATGGAAGCACACAGACATTAAACATTCAATTATTATATACATGTACACATGAATGTATGTTTACATGTAAAATATATGTTGAATCATATCTTTAGACTATAGTTATAACATAAAATTATAATATTACAACAACTACATTTTATTCTCAAATGCTGAATTTCATTAAAAAAAATTTAAACATTGTCTTATGTTATACTTGTTATACAAGTGCAGTTTATAATAATTAAAGTGACATAATGCCCAATTACATGGTGGGTGTACAGTTCAAAAATGAAATTTTGCCCTAATTGTCTTCAATTTCATGTATAAACAATAATCCATGTGACTTGCAGAAATTTCCATAAATATCCTTCAGTACGTATCCTATATTTAATTGATAAAAAGAGCAGCCTTTAAATAAAGGCAGTTATATATTTTTAACATTTTTCATAATTTCAATTTTTGGTCAATGACCAATATATAAGTTAATCATTTTTTAAGATACAGCCAATTCAGTTTAACCCAACAACAAAAATGAGCATAATATCACTTTAAACAATGTTATCAACAACATGTTGAACAAGAGGGCCATGATGGCCCTGAAATCGCTCACCGGTATATAGGCCCCCAGGGCAGGACCAATTTTAACCCAAGGGCTTTTATTTGAACAAACTTGGTAGACAACCATTAGAAGATGTTTCATGATAAATATCTAAGCTCTAGCTCTTTGGGATTTTTAAAAGAAGATTTTTTAAGTTTTTACTATACACATATAGGAAAAAAGTATCAATTTTTGACCTTTAAGTGTGACCTTGATCTTAAGCCGGCAAAAAGGTGACATGGGTTCTGCACATAACCTTGTTGAGGTGAACATTTGCGCCAAGATTGAAAAAGATCTTTCAATTAGTATAGGACATACAGAGCAGACACAACATACTGTCTAATATTTGATTGTTTGACCTTCATTTGTGACCTTGACCTTGAGCTGACACATGGGCAACATGGGTTCTGCACATCCCCTTGTTGAGGTGAACATTTGAGTCAAGTTTGAAGAAAATCTTTGAATTAGTGTAAGACATACAGAGCGGACACGACATACTGTCTGATATTTGATTGTTTGATATTTGACCTTTAATTGTGACATTGACCTTGAGCTGACACATGGGCAACATGGGTTCTGCACATTCCCTTGTTGAGGTGAACATTTGAGCCAAGTTTAATGTAAATCTTTCCATTAGTGTAGGACTAACAGAGCGGACATGGCATACTGTCTAATATTTGATTGTTTGATATTTGACCTTCAATTGTGACCTTGACCTTGAGCTGACACATGGGCAACATGGGTTCTGCACATCCCCTTGTTGAGGTGAACATTTGAGCCAAGTTTGAAGAAAATCCTTCAATTGGTATAGGATTTTTAGAGCGGACACGAAAATGGAGACGGACCGACTGACCGACCAACGGACGCGACAAAGCGAATCCATTATAGCCCCCCCCCCCCACATTTTGTGGTGTTGGTATAATAAAGCAAGAAAATTAACAAAGGGCAAAAACTCAAAAAATAAGAAATGCAGAGTACCATTTCTTATGCACTGCACTTCTTCTTAATGAGACCTATTATCCTATGAAGTTTCATGTCCATAGCTTTTATACTTTAGGAGAAGTGGCCTGGACAAAAATTAAGTATGTAAATTAACAAAGTGCAATAACTCAAAAAATAAGAAATGCAGAGTACCAGTTCTTGCGCACTGCACTTCTTCCTAATGAGATCTATCATCCTATGTAGTTTCATGTTTATAGCTTTTATACTTAAGGAGAAATGGCAAGGGAAAAAAAAAGTATGAAAATTAACAAAGTGCAATAACTCAAAAAATAAGAAATGCAGAGTACGGGTTCTTGTGCACTGCACTTCTTCTTAATGAGATCTATCATCCTATGAAGTTTCATGTTTATAGCTTTTATACTTGAGGAGAAATGGCCTGGACAAAAAAAAGTATGAAAATTAACAAAGTGCAATAACTCAAAAAATAAGAAATGCAGAGTACTGGTTCTTGTGCACTGCACTTCTTCTTAATGAGATCTATCATCCTATGAAGTTTCAAGTCCATAGCTTTTTATACTTTAGGAGAAATGATCCCCCGGGCGGGGCCAATTTTGATCCTGGGGCATTTATTTGAACAAACTTGGTAGACACTGACTGACAATGTTTCATGCCGAAGATTTAAGCTCTTTAGATTTTTTAAAAGAAGATTTTTCTGCATGGAATTAAATTCTTAAAAATTTTTTAAGTTGAGTACCAAAAGTACATTCCTGGGAAGTTGGGATGAAACTGGCTGAGATGTCGTTTAAAGTAAAAGTTTACTGGAATGGAATAAGGGGCCATTTCTTTTGTTTTTTTCTTGTGTTAAATAGAGGCCGGATGGCCCCTTACTCCATTGTTACGGAATGAACTCTATTGTTCTCTTTTGTTCTGTTAACAGTTAGATAGCCCCATATCCCTATTCAGTAGTGCTGACGGACGCCGGACGAAAAGCGATCACAAAAGCTCACCATGTCACTTTGTGACAGGTGAGCTAAAAAGTAAATCCATTTTTAAATCATCTTTCAAATAGCATCATTTCACTGCTGTCACCCACTACAAACAAGAGCACCACCAAGGCGGGGTTATATACACTCGAATGTATATTTGTATGAGTAATCAAATTGGTAGAGACGCAATAAAGAAACTTATTTGAATTGTTTTATCTTAATTATCCCTTTGATACTATATGACCCCCAAGGTTGAGGCATTTTTAACCCTGATTCATGAAACATTTATAAAGGACTACTACATAACGCCATATGCCAAATATAGAGGCATAGTATTTGTCTATAAAAAGGTAAGATGTGTCTCGTGACAGGGCCAATTTTGACTTGAGGGTCATGATAAATATAACTTTTGTAGAAATCCACAAACTGATGCTATATATCTAAGCTTTGTAGTTTCACACCAGTTTCACACAATTAGACATAAATGTGTTTTCCTATTATCAAGTGACCACAGGGTAGGCCAATTTTGATCTCAGGGACATGATTAACATCAAAATTGCTATAAAACTATAAACTTCAATACTTGGCACAAATGTTGACTGGACCATTGCCTTTGTAACAACATGCTCAGTCTTAAATTTCCTGTTGCCATGGCAACAAGAAGACATCTCAACATGGCCAAAAATCACTATTTTGCGTAGATTTTTTTCCATCAAAATTGATTTCAAAGTGCTGCAACTTCTCAATGGATTCAGATAGAGTCAAAGGCTTTTAAGCGTTGGTTACACATTACCTTATGATTGACCTGGGGTCATTTTTAGCCTCTCACAAGTCCAAAATTTTCTTGGCGATGAGGGGGACTGCTGCCCCCCTTCCAAACCCCAAAAACAGAAGGAGGTACATTCCCCTTCTAGCAACCCCCTGATGCATCTTTTTTATGGGGGGCGGTGCCGAAAAAGTGATCACTTTTTTTATCAACATTTCTCCAACGAAAACATGTTTTTGGGGCCCAAACAGGACATTTTTTTCACTATATGAGGCCTAAAAGAGGGGGGTGGAGGGGAGGGGTCGAAAGTGTGTTGTTTCGCGTATATATGAGGTAAAGGGTTAAACTGAAATGTGTTTTCTCATACAAGCTATATTGACTAAGTGGCCCGAGTGGAGGAATCAACATCGACCCAAGGGGCATAATTAATATCTCTTTTGTTGAGGCCAACAAGGCAATGTTACATGTTCAATATCTAAAGTCTGTGCATTGCAGTTTCATCAAAACAAGAGTTGAATGTGTTTTCCTACAAAAAAAAAAAAATTGAACCAAGTTACCACCAGGGCACGGGCAAAACTGACCCAAGGATCATGATTAATACCACTTATTCTGTGGTCCACAAAGTGATGTTACATGCTAAATATCTGGGCATGGTGGTTTCTAAAAGTTAGTCTCAGATGTGTTCTTTTTATAAAAGTCTATATATAATCATGTGACCGCTATTATACCAAAGAGCATGATTCATGTTTTGTAAAGGTAAATAAAAATATTCAAGCTCTAGAGATTGTAGTTTCATACATTGAGAAGTCAAACCTGCGCTCTGCACAACTTTTCTTTATGGTTAACATTTCTGCCAAGTAGTTTCAATCCGTTCTATCAGTTCAAAAGATACAAATCATTCACAAAATCTGCTAACAGACTTTCAGACGCATAACATTATATGCCAACATTTTTCACTTGTATAATTAAATGTTTCATAAAACAAATTCATCTGTTCTACATTTAACATTTGAACTTGATCATTCCAATACTCTCATCACATTAAGTTACTGTTAAAAAAGATTCTTTGAATGTGTCAAGAGCTTTATCCAACCAGTCTGCCTTATTCCTGAAAAAATAATTTTAAAAAGTATAAAAATTCTTGGTGTAAAACTTCAATTTATACAAAACTGAAACTTTTTCATCAATTTCCAGGGTATTTTGACCAAAACAATAGCCTCTACAGTGTTAATATTAATAATAAAGATTTTTTTATTAGGGCAGTGTGACCTTGTTTTTGACTCCTGATGACCCATATTTCAACTTGACCTAGAAATCATCAAAGCAACATTTCTGGCCAATTTCTAGCATATCCGGTCCAAAACAGTTGCCACTAGTGTGTTAACAAGATTTTTTTATTTTTGGCTCCCGTGACCTAGTTTGTCATCGGAGATGGCCTATGTTTGAACACGTCCAAACAATTACTGAAACAAACATCTTGACCAAGTTTTGTGATGTGACAATTGAGGCAAATATAAAATGACCACTTGAGTATTTACAAACTAAATGTGGACAGACGACGGACACTCAATGATTTTCAGGTGAGCTTATAATAAAATGTTATAAATTTTGACCAACGTTAGTTTCTGGATGGCAACGGGAACAGGAACGTCTAGCAATAGTGCATTTTTTTTTTTTTATAAAATTGTTGAGCTAAATATATCATATGTTAGTCAATGATAACTGAGTGGCATCTATTGCAGAGTTACAGTTGACCCCAGTATTTTCCTACTATTCATGTAACTTTTGTAGAGGACCAATAGGCAATATAGCATGCCAAATATCTAAGCTCTAGGCATTACAGTTTGACAAGACGAGTATATTTTTAATTCTTGAGACCTACTTACACATCAGCAGTCTTCACGAAAAACTTTAAAAAGCAAAGGACATTCGGGCCAGTAAAATTTTTAATCTTACTTAATCTTACCTAGTGATTTTTAGCCGGACCAAATACATAGATAGATAATAAATTGATGGGTAAAGGAAAGCACTATATCATGTTTCCCTTGATAATTTTGAAAGAAGCATATTACTTCTTGTATTCTGGGCCATTATGTTGACAGCTTTGGAAAATCTATAAGGACCAAATGTTTAGGTATAACTGACTAGAAATAAACATTAACAATGCTGAATCATATTTTATGTAAAGTTTCACAAGTTCGTTTTCTCTCTCTCCTTTTTAGACATTTTGAAGACAAGTTGTATTGTGAGCAAAACAAAATAAAAGCTTAGATATTTTTTGATTCTATGAAAGATATCTAGAATTACGAAAATGCATAATTACTAAAGGTGATAAAAACATAACAGGTTTTGATAAAAGTAATTCTTACATAAATATGTAAGCCTACTAGGTCATAAATGTTTGTGTCCCTTTACTATTAATTGTAAACAATTTATTTAATACACAGCAAGTTTAATGGTGAAATAGTAATATATGACACAATTTGCTTCAAACAAATGACTTTCACTAATAACTCAATTATCACAAAATAGTAGCTAAATAAAGATCATGATAACAAATGGCTAAATTTTCGTAATTGTACGGTGCGGTACAGAAAATATCCAAGAAAAAATGGCGGCCTCCATTACTAAATACAATTTAGACTTCTCTCGCTGTGTTTTGTATATTAAGGACTGAAATTGGTGGGTTTTATTTGCAAAAAGGCAAAAGATCAATCTTTATAAGAACCCTGCCACATTATTTTGATGAATTTTTTCTTACAGTACTTTTTCATGACCAAAAATCTACTGGCCCGTCAGACCACCAACAGGCTGTCCAGCACCCTCTGACAAAAAATTAGGGCAAACTTTAGGGCAATTTTTAAGAAATTTGAGGGCTAAAATTAGGAATTTTAGGGTAAATAAAAGAAATTTTAGGGCTAAAATTTGGAATTTTATTACTAAATTATGGCCTCAAAAGACCATGATATGGGCTCAACTTTGCATATTTGACAAAAAAGTAACTCACAAATAATGCTCTAGTTCGGTTATAGCAAAGGTGTTACCAGTGTTCTATAGTCATAAATGAATACATGGATTCACTGGTCAACTGCCTTTAAAAAGAGCTGAAAAACTACATTAAAACATAGTCAAAGTTATAAGTATTCCTGAACAACCAATATTCAATTAGTTAAGCTATGATTAGCCAATAATAAATGGAAGGGGAAATTATGCTTTAAATTTATTTTAGCTATAAATGCATTTCTTTTCAACATTTATTCATTTTAAGGTTGGTACATTTTCAACAAGTCTTGATCTTTCTTAAAAAACAAAATAAACGATATGACCCACTCAAGTCATTCCTGGGAATATTTAAACTTAAATTTAAACAGCAGGGTATACACTTATGAAGAATTTGTTCAAGATAAATCAGGCTACTAAAATTTGTAGAAAATTTCACAACAGTGTCAGTTTTTTCAATGATTTTCAACAGTTTTTTTTTCCAATTTTAAAAAACTTACACTATAATTTATAACATATGTTCAGTACATGTTAATATGTACAAAAAGGGCAGCTGAAGGTGCCACTTCTTAGTACCCTAATTGGGTAGCAAAATGGTTAAAGCATCCAATCATTACTGCCAGTTTACCTTACCCACTTTATAATTAGCAAATATGGATTTTGCAAGCTGGTATCACTTACAAAAGATCTGTTCTACAGTCATCACTTGAAAGTAAGTTGATTATAAATTAAGATTTTATTAATAAGGACCCCTACATACAGTCTGATGAAATTTAGTGGTTCATCATGTAAATAGTTGCTTTAAATGCACCTAAGACTGTGGTAAATGGTAAAACTCTGTAGCCAATAAAAATGTAACAATTTTAAACAGGTGACTATTTTGATATAGTCAAAGTCGTACAATTTTCATTGTTCCATTTAAAACAAAAAGTTTCTTATTATTTTTCTGATAACATCTGACAGTCAAGTATAGCATTTCTGCAGGAGTTGAAGTAAATACAACATGTGACTTTATGCAATTTATCACAAAAGATAAAAAAATAGGAATTTAAGTGAAAAAATAGGGCATTTTTAGGAATTCCCTTTGAATTTTTCATTTTTTTAGGAATTTTAGCCAAAGTAAAAAAAATTAGGATTTTTTAGGAATTTTAGGGATGCTGGACAGCCTGCACCAACCTTGCAATAATCACCAGACCAATGCTAAATTTAGTGGCCTCGGGCCGGCGCTTATTTCGAAGACTGCATCAGACTGGAAATATTTAAGTTTTGTATAGGAAACTGTTATGATCATTCCTGTAAAATTTAGTCAAAATCAACCATGTGGTTATGGTGGTGTGGTGTTTGAAGAAATTTTGGATATTGATGGACAAATTACTATAAAAAAAGCTTGAAAGCAAATAAATGATTAAGTTTAATGTTTACCTATATGTTTTAGATTTTGAAGCTGTTATCCCAAGCTGGGATATTATAACATCTTTCTGTTTGATCTCATCTTCTAGTTTAGATTTTGTAATGTCTGCCTGATTACACAACCTGGCAAATGTTGATGTTAATTCCCTGAAAAAAAGAAGAAAACAACTTCTTCACTGACATTGAGGAATGGATCCATTTATAAAACTTTTGTGGGAAATATTCTTTAAAGACATTGTAGATTATGGTGCACATCATCCTTTGAGCCTTTTTTACTTAACACGTCTCTGTAAAATAAGTGACAGTAAGGGTGGGGCCATTACTAACCTAACTTTGGTAGAGGTTTACTAGGCAATGCTGCATGCCAAAATACCAAAGATGCATAATTTAAGAAATATTAAAAAAATTTGTCTGCTACAAAATGCTTAATGAGAAACACCTAAGCCCTAAGTGTTTGTAGTTTCACAAAAGAATACTTATATGTATTTCTTATACAAGTCTATATAAACTAAGTGACCCTGAGATAAGGCAAATTTTGACAAACAGACTTTAGTAGGAGACCACAAAATATTTGAAGGGAAAGGCAATGTTAGAAATAAGAATAAAAACTTGATATCAGAAATAGAATACTATTAATAGTAAATCTGCAAATTTTCTGCCTTCAAATAATAATATTTAATGCTTGATAACAAAATTTAAATCACAAATTTCTACAAATCAGTATGGGTGCTGCCATGTTTGTGTATTGGTCGTATAAAAACAGGTGCGTGTGATGTCATTACCCCACATCTTTAGATTTAAGATAAATAATTGCCGAATTGTTGCGAAATATAAAGATATTTTAAAGTATTGAACAGATAAATTAACTTTAACAGGAAGAAATTTTGTTGATTCAAAATGCGTTATCAATATAAAAAAATAAAGAAACAAATAAAAAAATCAACGGTCTACTTGAGCACCAGTGGCACCACTCCTGTTACTCAAAACAATGCTATGTTCATAAAAGTCTCATCTTAATGTATTTCAACAATATTTCACAGATTTAATAAATACATGTGTTATTATTTAACAAAGTTTCAGAATCAAATAATGCAATTAAATAAACAAAGGCTCCAGCGAATAATTGGCTGTGAACAGTGATAATTATCATTATTATTATCATCATCATAAAAATCCTACTTAAATTTGTTCTTAATAGTAATTTAATTTTTGCAGTTTGATTCTGAATTTCAAAATTAGTATTTTAAGACAATACTTTTTACTTGAGAAAAAGGTGTGAATATAGATTATAATTGAAGTACACATTTCAACAATATAAGCCACTCTTTTGGAAAGTAAATTGTAAACAGGTCTGTCGATCAGAGGTCAACGTATGTTGCTGCATGGTATATATTTACATCATAATCAATGGATTTTATAATAATGTTTCTTAAAACTGTTTCATATATTTTTGACAAAAGTTATGCATAAGATATATATTATTGGATTTAGTTGAGATTATACGCTGAAAAAAGAAACATGACCGGGGACGTACCCGATTCACACATACAAAGAACAGCTTGTCTAGCGAAAATTAAGACTTAGTACAAAATAAAAGGATTTATCATCAATTTAAAGAAGTTTCTCTGTCATTTTACTTACAGTACCCAAATTAAATTGACCAAATAAATTAAATGGTTTATCTTTGAAAATTAAGCAGTCATTGCTTAAATCATGTGGTCAGTGATCATCGGGCAAATGTTAATTAATGTTGAGGCGAATTCAATAAATTAATTAAAGCATTTTAGTTCAATACGATGTTTTCATTAACTTTGTTGATTTAAAAAAAAACTTGAATTGAAGATAGTGATAATTATTAAGTTAACGTAACAACCATCCATTATCGGAGAAAAAATTCAATTTGACAAAGCATCCATTTTATGTCTGAAACATGCAATAATTTCAATATCGGTATCTACATTATACTTCTTATTTATACTGTTGTCAGCGCATTTTTGTAAAATCATTTTAATACATGCATGTATGTGAATATAACATACGTAATTAGATTAATAAGTATATTTCTGTTGTACATCTTCTGTGTAATACGTCATAATCTCGGTCTTGTCTGTTTCACATGAACTTATTTCTCAAGTAAAAAGTATTGTCTTAAAATACTAATTTCTCAGTTATACGGTTGATTTCAACAGAAAAACTATCATGGTACGTCTTTTTAAATGATAAATATTTATATAAGACAGACATTAATCTATCTGTTCCTATTCCTTTAAGCCCTATGCATTGTGATTTCTAAAGAGGCCTTTTAAGATATTTTTATAAATTAAGTGGCTCCAAGGGAGGACTAATTTTGATCCCATGGCCATGATTTATATAACTTTTGTAAAGGTCCACCTTGCAATACTACGTACCAAATATCAAAACTCTGGGCATCGAGTTTTAAAACGCATTCTTCTATATAAGCCTATGTAAACTTAGTGACCCCTAGAACTAGGTCATTTTTGACCCCAGGGATATGATTTAAAAATAAAGGCTGTATAAGCAAAACTGTAAAAAAAATAATTTTTTTACACTAGTTGCCTTGACCTTGACCCTAGTGACCCCTAACCCCACAAAAAATAATAGGAACATTAAAGGCATCCATCCACAAAATATGACAGACATCAATAATTAAATGAAGTTATTAGGAGAAATGTAAGAAGAATCCAACTTGCCAAAATAGGTAAACCATACCAGGCCACATTTCAAAGTGATAAAAAAGGGAAATAACCAGGAAAAATGGATGGCACAGTTATATCACTTGGCATTATCATAGACTTTGTATTGATAAGAAAGTGTGGAAATTATGAAGCCATAAAAACCGATAGAACTATATATATAACCAACTTGCCAGTTTAGTTAACCATATGTGCTGAGAAGGGCACATATAAAATAGCCATATAAAGATGTTATGGTAGAAATGACATCAAAGATAAAGTACAGTTACATCTATTGTTCCCCTAGCCGATGTAAGCTCGGATGGACAGACAGACAGTTGAATTACTCTATGCCCAGGAGCATAAACACAATTCTTTTCCCCGAAAAAGAACTTTTACTTCATGTCTAGAGAGGTCTGCTCTCCTGTAAGAAAGTAATTCTAAGGGTAGGTCTGCTTCTTATTTGAAGAGTTCTTCTTATATAAGAAGAGGTCCACTTTCCAGTAACAAAGCAAGTCTCAGAAAATATCCCTTTCCAGTTGTGCTGCAAATCTAAGAAGTGAAGCAAGTCCATAAGGGCAACAATTCTAGCAAGTCCAAAAGCGCAGCAAGTTTAGTAGCACAAAAAGTCCAAAAGCCCAGCGAGTTTTATAACACAGAAAGTTTAGTAGTGCAGAAAGTTTAGAAGTGCAGCAAGTCCAAAAGCGCAGCAAGTTTAGTAGCGAGAAAGTCCAAAAGCGCAGCAACTTTAGTAGCGCAGGAAGTCCAAAAGTGCAGCAAATTACGCAGTGCAGAAAGTTTAGTAGTACCGAAAGTTTGGAAGTGCAATAAGTCCAAAAGCTCAGCAAGTTTAATAACACAAAAGTTCAGTAGTGCAGAAAGTTTATAAGTGTAGCAAGACAAAATGCCCAGCAAGCTTAGTAGCGCAGAAAGTTAAGTAGTGCAGCAAGTCCAAAAGTGCAGCAAATTAAGTAGCATTAAAAGTCCAAAAGCCCAGCAAGTTTAATAACACAGAAAGTTTAGAAGTGCAGCAATTCCAGTAGTGCAGCAAGTCCAAAAGTGCAAGAAGTGCATTAGTTCCTTTTCAAAGTTAATGAGAACTAGAACTATCGCTGAATGCGATTCATACCCCCACCAATGTCCATGACAGAATATGACTTGGAAAGGTGGTTAAGGGAATAACTTTAGTGGCACAAATACATATAGCATAATTATGTCAAAATGTAATTAAGAGTGGAAAAACTTTGCATACTAAAAGGGGCATAACTTGTGTCATAATTAAATGGATTGTAAAATTTTCGTCATCTGAGCTTGCTTGTAACCATTCATATAAATTTTAAGTTTCAAGTAAATATCTGTTCTGGTTTAAGAAATATTATAGTAAATAAATTTAAAGACATAAAAATGGACTTAACTTTGTCAAAATACAATACAAAGTTATCCCCCACCCCCCAACTTTTTTTAGTTATGAAACTTGACCTGCATATTTTATTTGCGGCACTGCATTTATATTTGAAGTTTCAAATGATTATCTGTTCTAGTTTTAGAAATATTCAAGTACATGTTAAAATATAAGAACATTTTCCAAGTCATTTTTTGACCTTCAATTGTGGCCTTGACCTTAAGCCAGCACAAAGGTAACATGGGTTCTGCACATTGCCCAGTTGGGGTGAACATTTGAGTCAAGTTTGAAGAAAATTCTTCCATAAGAATAGGATTCATAGAGCGGACACGACATATTGTCTAATATTTTATTGTATGTAAATTTGAAGACTTAAAAAGGGGTATAACTTTGTTAAAATGCAATACAGAGTTATTAAACTTGACCTGCATATCTTAATTGTGACACTTCATATATATTTTAAGTTTCAAGCAAATACCTTTTCTAGATTCAGAAGTATTCAAATACATGTTAAAATTTAAGAATATTTTCTAAGTCAATTTTTGACCTTCAAGTATGACCTTGACCTTAAGCCGGCAAAAGGGTAGCATGGGTTCTGCACATGACCTTGTTAAGGTGAACATTTGAGCCAAGTTTGAAGAAAATCCTTCAATTTGTATAGGATTTATAGAGCGGACATGATAATGGAGATGGACAGACGGACTGACGCAACAAAGCGAATCCATTATAGCCCCCCCCCCACACACACACATTTTGTGGTGGGGATATAATTAATGTTAGGACCCACACAGACTGACCCACAAAGACTAACATTTGACAATGTCTACTAGACAATGTTTCATGCTTAATACCTAAACTTTATTTGTAGTTTTAGAGAAATGAACTTACTGCTGAACTTGGTGACTACAGTTAGAACTGGTGAGGTCCACTATGAGTCTCAGTTTACTGCTAGCATAGTCAACATACTGTGATTTGAATGCCCTTTCCTTAGCTTTGTTAGTCCAAGTTAAGCGTTCATAGCAATATACAGCTGTATACATTCCTCCTACAACAGCTAGGACCTTCCATCCAACTGCTTTATATATCTGTAAAAAATATATATATATATATAGATTATGACTTAGTAATTAACAATTATGATCCCAAACACACTTCACAATCAGCTATAACTCAGTCAAAATACATGCCAAGGTAAACGTTATAGATATAGTTATCAACAATTATGAAGCTTCAAAAGAATACCATATGTACTCTGAAGTTTGATCTTGTATCCATGCCAAAAAAACATGAGTTATAAGCCTAGTACAGTGATCTCTCATTGGTATCTTGTGAAGTAAAATAAAAGCTATTAATACACTTGTTTCTATATATAGCCCTCTGGGTCATTGTTCATTTTGCGGGCCAATTATCACCTTCCGGACCTACTGTGCCGTATATTAATCTCTTAATATTCTAAATGATGATAAGGGATGAAGAAGACTACAAAAACTAAATCTAAGAGCTACATCTCCCCAGGAAGGTATCTTGGAATAATTAAGCTAAAAGAGATTTGTTAAGGATGTTTACCTTACATTGTATTTATTCTGACAGGTTTTAGAATTCCAAGAGACCAAATGGAGACTACACTAATTAATAGTCCTCTCCAAACAAAGGGAAATAACTGAAATATTCGGATTGCACAGTTATTTAACTTGACAATATCATATACTTTGCATTGGTAAGACTTGGTAGGTGTGGAAATTATGAAGCCATTAGTATAGAAAGAACTTAAGATATATCCAACTTGCTGGTTTAGGTTAACCATATCCATTTTCAAAGTGCTTAAAAGGGCAGAAATCTAGAAATGTGTCCATAGAAAACTTCCCAAAAAAATGTCCCAACTTCATTTGCTATGATATCTCACTGCAATATGTACATACTTATGCATATTTTATAACATGAAGCTTCATCATCAAATTGTCAGCATTTTGTAATTGGAGCATTTTTGGGGGAATTATGGCCTTTCGATTTCACATGTATAATAAATATTAAGATGAATATTAATTTGTATCTTATGCTAATTGTACTAAATGATAAGATACTAATTGCACTTAATTAAATGCATTTAACTACAAACAACAAATTTATTTTATTCATAATACTAATCTATTCATTAGATTATAGAAGTTTATTATGTTGCTTGGTCACTTTGTTTGATTTGTACATTTACTAGTTTATTATTTACTATTTTGGGACTTTGACCTAACTCTGCACTAATGTGTAGCATGATGAGACAGTGTTATGGGCAAGACCGTGACCCTTAGCTCAGAGGTCAATGTTAGACTAAGAGATCAAAGGTCAGCAGTTACAAAATCTTGTTCAGCCAATAACTTTCATGCATTATGGAGTTTTGAAATCACTTAGAGCACAAGTGTAGCATGATGGGACGATTTGTCATGCACAAGAGGCCCAAGGTCAGCAGGTAGATTTCTTGTTCAGCCCATAACTCTGTCATGCATCTAGGGATTTTAAAAAATTTGGCACAAATTTTAAACATGATCAGACGGTGTGATGTGCATAATAAATTTTAAGGCACAGCTACACTCTGATGGTCATTTGGCTGCTTTCAAGCTTTACTGGTGGCAGAAGACTTCTGACAGGTGCCCCACAATGCATTATTTCAGGCTCAAGCAGGCACCTGTATAGAACCAAGCTTGATAGCTTCTTCACTAGGAAGAGTCCCTGTTGGGATCAGAACCAACAACAGCGAGGGGCAAGTGATTTGAATTGATGACCTTAACCAATGGACAACAGAAGCTCGTAGATTTCTAATGAGTTATGAAATACATGATTTGAATGTTTTAAAATTCAATACCATCTATTAAAGATCAAATTTATGAACATATTACTAAAATTGCATATACTCATGTTAATATTTTATATACATACCACTCCTCCAATAACAAGTACTGCTATTGCTGATCTCTGACCTATATTTTTACCAACTGTGAGCAATGCAAATAAGGCATCATTATCTTGCTGGGGTGGAAAATTACGTGGTTCCTGAGGTGTCATTGGTATGCTCCGTGGTATCTAAAACAATCACAAATAAAAAAAATTAAAGGTAAAATGCTAAGTCAAAGTCAAGTTTAACAAGAAGTTCAAAATGGCATCTATTGCTCAATTGAGTAAATCCAAAAAAACAAAAAACAAGAATCTATGTTTGAAAAACAGATATGCACCTAGCATTGATTCTTGTCAGTAAAATTTTGTCAAACAGAATTGGCCTTCCTCACTTATGTTTACTTAATCTATAAAGACTTATATTGGAAAATACTTAAGTCTTCTTTTGTGAAACTACAATGACCAAGGGTTAATTGTCCACCATGTAGCAAGCAATGCCTTAGGTACATAAGTGTATAGGTGATTCCTGTAGGGTCAAAAACGGTGTGTAAGCACCAGGTTCTGAGAAACATCTGGATATATTGCTTACTTTCATTTGGAGTGATAAAATAGAGTGATCAAATAAAGTTTGTTTCCCAAAAAAGTAATTATATTGAGGGGTTGTTTGTTTGATTGGGTTTTACGTCACACCAACACAGTATAGGTCATTTGGCGACGTTCCAGCTTTACTGATGGAGGAAGACCTCAGGTGCCCTTCTGTGAATTATTTCAGGCACAAACGGCACCTAAGGGGTTGCATTGACAGATTATTCCCTACATGTTGCAGCTACTTTGTAGCATGTTGTAGGTACTGTGTTGCATGAGATGCAAAAGCATTAACAGGCCAAAACACTTTCTTCTAACTTGGCCAAAATCTAAACCAGAAACCTGTCGAGCAAGCGCAAGAACTTAAGGTATCATCAATCATGTAAAGTTTCAGATTGCACAAGGACAGCTAAATCCCCTTCAGCAGCTGACATGAATGTGTACTTCTTGACCTTTAACAGACCATGACCTTAATGCATGTACATTGTATTTATGCTTAAGATAATAATGTTAGATGTAAATTTATTATGTACAAAATATAGAATAAAATATTATTTAACTATGACCTTGATGTTGTGCCATGCATATCATAAGGACATTTGCTAATCACAAAAGTCTGTTTCAGTTCAAAATGACCAATTATCTTCCATATTTAGAAGGTAGTTACCTTTCTAGATTCTCTTGTTTTGTTTGAATTATAGGTCAAGGTCTTGGTAACCATGTGTTATTTTAAACTTCATATATAGACAAGTTTCTTAAATATTTGATTTTGACCTTTGCCCTAGAGACCCAAAAAATAATTGGGGTCATCTACTGGTAGTTATGATCAATCAGTATGTGGAATATGAAGACTTTGTGATAAATAGTCTCCAAGATAATGAGCAGAAACCATTCTGACATTTAAGGATCCTGTGACCTTTGACCTAGTGACCCAAAATCAAAAGGGGTAGGTAATCTACTAGTGATGACCAATCATGTGAAATATGAAGACTTTGTGTGTGATAAACAGTTTCTAAGATAATGAGTGGAAACCTTTCGAACATTTAAGGATCCTGTGACCTTGACCTTTGACCTAGTTACCACAAAACAATAAGGGTCATCTACTAGTTATGACCAATCAGTATGGGAAATATGAAGACTTTGTGATAACTAGTATTTAAGATAATAAGCAGAAACCATGTGGTCTACAAACGGACAGACCGACCAACCTACTGATTGACATTAGCATCTTCAAAGGGCCCGGGGGGGCATAAAAATGCTGTGATTACTCACCTGATTATAAAAGTTTTTAAGGACAAATAATATTGTAAACCATCAATTTAAAGCAGCATGCCTCCAGATTTATGCTAATGTTCAAGAAAATTTTGAAAATGTATTTGAAAGGAAAATACTGTGAAAAGACCAAAGAAAATAATTCACACATTGCAAACGGCACTTATAATCCATGTAAAATTACCAAAAAGAGGTCAAAATATACATAAATACCTCTTACTAACGCAGTAGAATTATAGTGATTGATACTGCAAAATCAGTCATAAATCACAGAACACATGTGAATAATTAATAAAATATTGAATCTTTTTACTTTTCTTAAGATCTTAATACATTTTTCTAAAGTTTAAATTTTTTGAAATATTTTGGCTCATCTGGAGGCATGCAGCTTTAAAGCAGATATAAAGTCTAAATCTTAAATTTAAAAGGTTCATATTTGCTCTTAAAATATTGATGTAGAAATGTTACTGGTTGCTATTGGTAAGAGAGATCAAGAGTTACTACAGAAGTCACTGGTTACTGTACAAAATTAATATTTTCTGTGGAAGTCATTGCTTGCTATGAAGATTCACTTCTATGAAGTTTGCTATTGATGTCACTGTTAACTGTGTAAAATCATTGTTTGCTACGAAAGTCACTCGTTGCTATAGAAATTTACTGAAAAAAGGCAACAATATGCTCATCTCCTCTCGGTATTGATGGTTTCCATAAAGTTCAATTGAATTCCTGCTAGTAGTTGCAGAGAAATAGCATGGAAACGATTATTGCTATATATGCATACTGCATAACTAATCAAGGGCCATAACTCTGTGTTTAAGGGTCCGACCGAACAAGGCAACCTAATATGCACATTTCATCTTGGTATAGATGGTTCCCATAAAGTTTCATAGAAATTAAGCCAGTAGTTGCAAAGTTGCACGGAAACGATTATTGCTATATATGCATACTGCATAACTAATCAAGGGCCATAACTCTGTGTTTAAGGGTCCGACCGAACAAGGCAACCTAATATGCACATTTCATCTTGGTATAGATGGTTCCCATAAAGTTTCATAGAAATTAAGCCAGTAGTTGCAAAGTTGCACGGAAACGATTATTACTCTATATGCATACTGCATAACTAATCAAGGTCCATAACTCTGTGCTGAAGGGTCGGACCGTAACAAGGCTAAGATATATGCATCTCCTCTTAGTATTGATGGTTCTCATAAAGTTTTGTTGCATTATATATAGCCATATAAGAATTTGTAACAGATTTACCAACGTCCCCCTGCCTAAGGGAAGTTTTACATGAATCACTAAATTGTGCAATTGAAAAAAATTGAAGTAAAGATCTGGACTTTTAGTGCAAAATCTTGATCAATGCTAGACAATGAATAAATTGATTAAACAAGAGGGCCAAGATGGCCCTAGATTGCTCCCCTGACCCATCAACCACATCTGAGCAATGTCTGCATCCTGACCAAGTTTGATGACAAATGAGTCAAAAATGTGACCTCTAGTGTCTTAACAAGGTTTTTCCTTATTTAGGCAGTGTGACCTAGCTTTTGACCCCAGGTGATCCATATTCAAACTTGACCTTGAAGTCATCATAACAACCTGATCAATATCCAGGATATTTGGATCAACACAACAGCAACTGGAGTGTTAACAAAGATTTTTTCTATTTTTAGTACCTGTAACCTAGTTTTTGACCAGAGATGACCCATATTCAAACTTGACCTAGAAATCATCAAAACAACCTTCCTGACAAATTTCCAAATATTTGGATAAAAATTGCAGCCACTAGAGTGTTAACAATATTTTTGTATTACTACCTCCTGTGACCTAGTTTTTGACTGAAGATGACCCATATTCAAACTTGACCTAGAAATCATCAAAACAACCTTCCTGAATAATTTCAAGGATATTTGGATAAAAACTGCAGCCTCCAGAGTGTTACAAGCTTTTTCTTTTTTAGCTTGTGACCTAGTTTTTGACCCAATATGACCCATCTTCGAACTTGACCTAGAAATTAGAAATCAACCTTCCTGAACAAATTCCAGAATATTTGGATCAAAACTGCAGCCACTAGAGTGTTAACAATCTTTTTCTATTTTTAGCTCCTGTGACCTAGTTTTTGACCCAATATGACCCATCTTCGAACTTGACCTGTATTTTACTGAGACAAACATTCTGACATAATTTGATGATAATTCAATCAAAACTGTGACTGCTAGAGAGTTAACAACGCAATTGTTGACAATGAATGACGCACAATGACGGATGTAGCCCCATCACTATACCTCACCTTGACCACTTTTTGGTCAGGTGAGCTAATAAAAAATCCCTACAACAGACCATGTTAAGTTTTGACCCCAGAATGTAATCTTGACCTTGAAGGTAGGTGTCTGGTATTGGGCATGACACATCATCCCAATATTGTGAACATTTGTGTCAAGTAATTTCAAAATCCTACCATGTTAAGCTTTGACCTGTCATCTTCAAGTGTGACCTTGACCTTTGCATCTAGGTGTTGAGCACAACACATCGTCTCATTATTGTGAACATTTGTGCAAAGTATTTTCAAAATCCATTGATGGATGAGAAAGTTATGGACTGGACACAATATACATCCTCCAATAGACAATAATGACCTTTAATCACCAAGTTTGACTTTGACCTTAGAGGTAGGGATGTCATGCAGGACACATCATCTTATTTTAATAAAAGTTAGTGTCAAGTAATTTCAAATCCCTTTCATGAATGGCTTAGTTATGGATTGGACATACAGACAAACAGAGGGACAGAGCCTATATCTATATCCCTTTTTTTTCCAAGTAGACAGGGGATAATAAATGTCAACCTGGATATACTGGTCACCTGTCTATAGTGGTCATTTAAGCTCAGTCCCCTTGTTGACCACTAAAGGCAGGTTACTCTGGAAAATCTATGACCCCCCTGGAGCTGGGCTAATTTTGACCCAAGCACTGTAAATCTGAAATTTTTTTGTAGATGTACACTAGACAAAATATCATGCATAAAAAGTGACCCCTGTTCGAACTTATCCGAGCAATTACCTAGACAAGCATCCTGACCAAGTTGGATGATAATTGAGTAAAAAATGTGACCACTAGAGTGTTAACAAGGTTTTTCCATATTTGGGCGGTGTGACCTAGTTTTTCATCCGAGATGACCCAAATGCGAACTTGACCTAGAAATCATCAAAATAAACTTTCAGACCAATTTACAGGATATTTTGATCAAAACAGTAGCAACTAGAGTGTTAATAAGATTTTTTTATTTTTAGCTCCCGTGACCTAGTTTTTCATTTGAGATGGTCCATGTTCGAACTCATCCGAGCTATCACCTAGACAAGCATCCTGTCAAAGTTTGATGATGATTGAGGCAAAAATGTGACCGCTGGAGTGTTCACGATAAGTATGGACGAACGACAGACGACGGACATTCAACGTTCCTAAAAGCTCACCCTGAGCTAGCTCAGGTGAGCTAAAAAGTCGTTGAAAAAAAGTTGATGATGGATACACTGGAGGATGCTTGACAAATTGTGATCACAAAAGCATCTTAAGCACAATGTAAAGCTTATAATGACCAACAACATTACTGTTACAATAGGTTGAATTATTTCTTTGAAAAAGTTGTGCTTATTAAAGAAAAGGTGCTTATGAACTGCTTTATTAACATCTTTACTTCTTTATTTTAATTTCAAAAAGACAAATGAAAAGAAAGATTAACACTTACAGCATCATAGTGATATGGCTGCCTTGCAATACCAAACTTATTACTTCCCATCAGTTTACGAAAGAGATTCATTGGTCCTAGAGTAAAATGGAAGGAGATATCTTCCTGGAACTCTGAACAGAGATTACGGCAGTCAAGTCTGTAAGCAATTTCAAATTCATCTCTTTTAGGAAGCACAGTATGAACCTGTTGCTGGGCCTCCTCTGGTAACAATGCTGACAATCTCTCTAAAAGGAAAGTTACATCATAACACATTATTGAAGCAATTTCAAAGCAATACCAGCTACAAGAAACATGGCAATGCCACGAAACCCAGTTGTCAATTAACCCATTGTAGAAAGATATGTTGTAGTTGAAATACATGTACAAGCAAAATACAATATAACTATGCGCAATGTAAATCAAAAATAATAAATTTTCGATTTTTAGAAACACTAACCTTGACCCTAGGGGGCCCAAAAGCCATCCCAAGTGAGGTCTTAATAAAAATTTGATTTACATCAAATTTCATAAAAATATCTTATTTCAAACCGGACACTGACTTTTTATTTTTAGTAACAGTGACCTTAAACTTGACCTTACCAGGCCCAAAAGCAATCAAAAGAAAGATGTTTACATAAGCTTGCTATGCACAGTTTAATTGAAATATTTCATTGCATACTCTAGTTATTGACTGGAACGGGTTCACTATTTTTAGCAACAGGCTTGACTCTACAGGACTCAAAAGCATGCAGATGAGCTGGCAGGCGTGCAACATTAACTAGAAAGATTCTGTTCAATAACTATATAAAGTTTGGTTAAATGTTGTAGTTATTTCATGGAAAAAAAAATAAATGGCCATAATTAGGTAAACAATTATCCAATAACAAAACCCCGACAAAATGCATCAGGGCACTTGATGACAAAGCTTCTGTGAAAGTTTGGTCAAAATCCCTTGAGAAATGTAGGAGGGGTTGTTCACATAAGACATTGTTCACAATATATTCTATATAAGAAAAAAACAAAGGGTCATATTTAGGTAAAAAATAATCCGATCACAAAACTCGGACAATAAGCACCAGGGCACTTGATGACAAAGCTCCTGTGAAAGTTTAATTAAAATCCCTTGAGAATTGTAGGTGTTGTGCACATAAGAAATTGTCCACTATATATTCTAAGGAAAAATAAGAATCTGTCTGTTAAACACAAATTCACACGACTTAGATTCTTGTCAGTAACAATATTTCAATCAAGAGGGCCAAAATGGCCCTAAATCGCTCAACTGACCCATCTAACTCATCCGAGCAATTACCTAGACAAGCATCCTGACCAAGTTTCATGACAGGTGAGTCAAAAATATGACCACTATCTAGAGTATTAACAAGGATTTTCCAGTGTGATCTAATTTTTGAACCCAGGTGACCCATATTCAAACTTGACCTACAAATCAACAAAACAAACTTTCTGACTAATTTCCAGGATATTTGGATCAAAACAGAAGCCACAATTGTTAACAAAATTTTTCTATTTTCAGCTCCTGTGACCTAGTTTTTCATCCAAGATGACCCATGTTCAAACTCATCCGAGACATTATCTAGACAAGCATCCTGACCAAGTTTGATGATAATTGAGTCAAAAATGTGACCACTAGAGGTTTTTCCATATTTAGGCGGTGTGAACTAGTTTTTGAACCCAGGTGACACATATTCGAACTTGACCTAGAAATTATCAAAACAAACTTTCAGACCAATTTCCAGGATATTTGGATCATAACAGTAGCCACTAGAGTGTTAACAAGATTTTTCTATTTTTAGCTCCTGTGACCTAGTTTTTTACCGAAGATGACCCATATTAAACTTGTCCTAGAAAGCATCAAAACAACCTTCCTGACCAATTTCCAGAATATTTTCATTAAAACTGCAGCCACTAGTGTGTTAACAAGATTTTTTTTATTTTTAGCTCCTGTGACCTCATTTTTGACCGGATTACCCATATTCAAACATGACCTAGAAATTATCAAAGCAACCTTCCTGATCAATTTCCAGGATATTTGGATCAAAACTGCAGCCACTAGAGTGTTAACAAGATATTTCTATTTTTAGCTCCTGTGACCTAGTTTTTGACCTGAGATAACCAATTTTATGTCAGTAGCTTGACCTCTGAAAGCTGGACAAGATTTTTCTATTTATAGCTCTGGCGGCCATTAAGTGTGGCGAAGCAGAACATGCCAGCCATATGCACAATAAGAGATGGTACTGATCACTCCTGGGAAGTTTGGTTGAAATCCCACCAGTTGTTTGACCTGTGAAAGCCTGACAAGATAATTCTATTTTAAACTGTGGCGCACATTTTTTGCAGCAAAGCAGAAAATGCCTGCAATATATATGCACAACTAGGGATGGCACTGATAACTCCTGTGAAGTTTGGTTTAAATCCCACTAGAAGTTTGACCTGTGATAGCAGGACTAAATTTTTCTACAGCGGGACAAGATTTTTCTATTTTTAGCTCTGGTGGCCATTTTGTGCAGCGAGGCAGAACTTGCGGGTGATGCGCATAACAAGGGATGGTACTGATCACTCCTGTAAGGTTTGGTTAAAATCCCACCAGTAGTTAACCTGTGAAGGCCTGACAAGATTTTTCTATTTTTTAGCTCTGGTGGCCATTTTGTGAAGCAAAGCAGAACATGCCTGTGATGTGCACATCTAGGCATGGTACTTATCACTCCAGTTAAGTTTGGTTGAAATCGCACCAGTAGTTTGACCTGTGAAAGCTGAACAAGATTTTTCAATTTTTAACTCTGGCGCCATTTTGTGCAGCAAAAGAAATGTGCTGCGATATGGTTGAAATCCCACCAGCAGTTTAACCTGTGAAAGCCGGACAAGATTTTTCTATTTTTAGCTCTGGAGGCCATTTTGTGCAGAATAGGGGAACATGCTGGCGATGTGCACAACTAGGAATGGTACTGATTACTCCTGTAAAGTTTGGTTGAAATCCCACCAGTAGTTTGACCTGTGAAGGCCCGGTAAGCTTAATGCAGACGGATGGACAACTGGATGGACAGACAGACGGTGAGGGCAAAAACAATACTCCCAAAATTTTGGGAGACATAACAAAAATTTTTGAAGACAAAATAATTTGATATTGGCATTAAAGGTCTAGGTCATACAAAATACTTAAGCAAATAGGTTTTCTCACCTGTGTTATTTTGCCCAAGTATAAATGACATTTGCAAATAAACAACAAAGTAATGATAATCTAATCTGAATTCCAAATTTGACCTTGATGGTCAAGGTCATTTACAACACATGTAAATTTAAAGGTCATGGTTAAATATGAATGACTTAACATGGCTGTTATATTATAAGTGCTTTTTTTGTCTAAGTAAAAATTAAACCCAAACATAAAAAAAGAAATGGCCAATTGTAGAAAAATTTACTAATTTGACCTTTAGTATTAAGAACAGAATAAGGTCAAAGTCAAATTCAAACAAATCTTTTCCAATGTCTTTAGCCAAAGATTATTGTGTTAAGGTATGAAGATGATCTATTGATTTCCGACAATATTATAGCCATTTATTGCAAAATATTGTGAAATTTACAATAGTTTGACCTTCAAGGTCAAGATCATTTATAATGTTTTGAACATATTGTCTTTAAGGTAGTTGTGCTCAAATAAAAAAGATAGTCCATTTATAAATAACAAAGTAATAGCAAATTAAGGTACAGTCGAGACTGCCTAAGCGACCCCCTGATTTAAACGACTCCCTGTCTTATCCGACCTTGTTTCAGTACTCCCAACGTATTTTCCTATATAAATGGTCTGAATTAAACGACTCCCTGTCATATGTGACAAGCAACCCTAATTGTCTGGTCCCAATGCAATGTTTTGTCTGATTTAAACGACTTTCACACCTTTTAATTATCCGTTAATCAGATAAAGATTACCTATTATAACACCCAGAGGGCCAAATTAATTAAGTCCAATTATAATCCAGCACTGTAGCAAACAAAGTCTACACACCTCTATCTCAAATACACAGTATACATGCAGGTACCAAGTGACGTAGCGTTGGTTCATGGAAATCATGATGCAATCATGTGTGTGTAATGTTCTACCTGAGTAAACTGGGTTAAGACTTGTGTTCAAAAAAGATTTTTCTTTTTAATTATAGAGTGCCCATGGGAGATTTTTTAGGCAGCATTTTTTTAAATTTACCTTTCTATGGCTGCATAATTAATACGGAAAAAATATTGATACCAAACCAGAAAAAAACTTGGGATATGGATATGTTTACAGTAAAGATCCTGTAACACAATTTTTTCACGGTTTTATTTCATAAATATGATGCTCAAATTAAGATTTGTCAATATTGTAAGTTCAAATAAGCATAATTTAGAAAGATATCACCCAATTTAACATTTCATGTAAATAAAGGCCATTAAAGGGAGGTAATTAGAACTTTATTTTCTATAAATTCTAAGTCAAATTTTCCGATAAGAAATCAGTGCATGTAGTTTATTGATTTAATAAAATGTGCACAAATATTTGCAATAAACATTTTACATATTCTTTGATGTTTGAAAATGGTTTTATTTGCATAATTATATCCGTATATATTTTTTTGTAAGATACGTGATCACAGTAACAATATCAATGTTCTTTAAGTCACATTGGTACATAGACAGATAGATGATATTGAGACTGTATTTAGAGACTCCCTGTCATATGCGACCTTTTTCTGAAGGTCCCTTGGAAAGTCACATATGACAGTCTCGACTGTATTTTCCAAAGGATTGTTTTGTCCAAGTATAAAGACAATCCAAACATAAATAACAAAGCTGTAGCATATTTTAGTAAAAATCAAGCAAAATTCAAACATTTAACCTTATGGTTGAGGTCATTTATGAGTCAATGACAAATTTAGCCTGATTTGCAAACAATATACTTGTGTGACAAATATTTAATGATTGTTTTTTAAAGGTTACGCACAGGATTCACTATCAAAATTTTATTCCATTTCATTGCTATTTTTCTTATCTGTGATATGACAAACACCATATTTAATTTCCTGCTATGTCCTTGATATTTGAAATCTGAGCTTGTATGATCATAATGAGCCAATATGAAAATTCAATCATAAATATTTTGTTATGTGGTGGTTAGTTTATGGAAGTTTATTTTAGTTCTAATTGTGTTGGAAGCTGTAAGCTTATTGAAACACTCTTGAATCTGTTCCTGGAACCAACCAATACTAAGCTATGAATGTAAAGTTTCTTGCTCAAGGAAACAATGGCTTGAACCTACGGGGTCAGCAAGCGTGGTGGGGGTTTACTCTAACCTTATTATGTCAATACCTATAAGGTAAAGACAATTGTACTTTACAGAAATTTACTGCTGCATTTCAAAAGATAGTTACCAGTCATTTCCCTTTGTGTTATTTCTAATGCTGACATTAGTGTCGCAGAGCATTTAGCTTGTACATTCCTACCAAGACCCTGTTCTATGTGTACATGCAGCTCCTGACAAAAATAAAAACAACAAAAAGGAACATCAACTCATTAACAAAGCACACAATGAAGCATGATATATTGACCAATCAAAGCCAATCAAAAATAGGTAAACCATTAGTGAAAGACTAGGTAGGTAATAATAAAACTAAAACAACATCACTATGATACAACAAAATGGTAAAATAATGTCAGCAAAGCAGCAACCTAAAATGAATGAGAGATCAATATATTATTAGTAAATGGAGCAATAACTACCACCAAATACATCATATTGTGGGAAGGTTTAATCGTAAATGATATTATAACCTCAAATAGAACATTTTTGGACATTCTGTAACAAAACAAGCCTGCACTTGTGAATAAGGGGGCAATAATGGCCTGGAATTGCTCATCTTTATGGTAATGGTCAATTAAAGGTCAAAGTCATATCAGAATAAATTGTCATATGTGGTCTTTTGTCCAAGAATTATTAAATCTGTAAGTAAATAACAATGTTATGACAAAATAGACAAATTTCAATAATTTGACCTTGATGATCAATGTAAATTTAAGGTCAAGGATTTATTTGAATTATTCAACATACTGATTTTGTTATAAGGGTTCTTTTGTCTAAGTATAAATCAAATCCAGAAATAAACTAGAACTGTGTCCAAAGGACACGGATGCCCCCACTGACAACATATATATGCTATATAGTGTAAAAATCAACAAAGGGTCATAATTCTGTTAAATTTGGTCGCAGCAAAATCTGCCATCCGGTTTAAGAGGAGTTGCGTTCACAAGATTTCGGGCTGTACGGACAGACGTACGGACGGATGGACAAGTGCAACGATATATGCTCCCCACTTTGTGGGGGCATAATAACATCTTAAGGTTATGGCCAATTGTAGCAAAATTCATTTATTTGACCATCAATGTCAAGGTCAAGTAAAGTTAAAGTTACAGCCAATTATAGCAAAAATCAAACAAAATGCAAACATCCAACCTTAAAGGCTGAAATCATTTATGAGAAAAGGTCAAATTCAGTCTGGTTTACTTGATGCTTTTTCACTCACAGATCAAAGTGTTCTTGTGTCTTAGTATGAAGACAATTAAGAAATTAAAAATTAAAAGCCAGGTGGAGGCAACACTACTTTTTTTCACTTTTCTAAAAGCAAAAATTTAATTTAATATGTATATTTAGTCACACCTGTTGTTTTATCTAAGTTTGAATCATTTCCATATATGAAGACAGGACAAAACCTTCTAAAAGTTTGAACTGAAAGAATTTAATTAATTTGATGATTCAGGTCACTTAGAGGTCAAGGTCACATCTAAATTATTCAAAATGTTTATTTGGTAGTATGTTTTGTTATAAACTATATGCCAAATTCAATTACCTGATATTGATGGTCATTTAAAGGACAAGGTCATTTCTAAGCTATTCAACATCTCTGTTTGGTCACAAGTATTGTTTTGTCCACTTATTAATCAAATCAATAAATAAATAACAAAATTATGACAACTTAACCAAAATTCAATAATTTGACCTTAACAGTCTAGGTCAATTGAAGCAAAAGGTCAAAGTCAGTTCAACCTTTTAGAAGGTCTTGTCCAAAAGGTTGTTTTGTCCAAGTATAAAGATAATTCATTGTTTAATCCAAGTTACAGTCAATTAAAGCAACAAGAAGGCCATGATGGTCTGAAATCGCTCACCTGGTTATAGGCCCCTGGGCCAATTTTAAACCAGGGGCTTTTATTTGAACAAACTCAGTAGACACCCATTAGAAGATGTTTTATGATAAATATCTAAGCTCTAGCTCTTTGGGGTATAATAAGAGTTTTAAAGTTTTAACTATATACATATAGGGAAAAACAATGACCCCCCCCTCAGAGGGGCCAATTTTGACCCCAGGGCTTTTATTTGAACAAACTTGGTAGACACTCACTAGAAGATATTTCATGCTTAGTATCTAAACTCTAGCTCTTTGGGTTTTTTATAAGAAGATTTTTTAAGTTTTTACTATACACATATAAGGAAAATCAATGACCCCTGGGGCGGGGCCAATTTTAACCCAAGGGCCCTTATTTGAACAAACTTGGTAGAAACCCATTAGAAGATGTTTCATGCTAAATATCTTAGCTCTAGCTCTTTGGGGTTTTTAAAAGAAGATTTTTTAAGTTTTTACTATATACATATAGGGAAATAGGGACAATGACCCCCTGGGGCGGGGCCAATTTTAACCCTAGGGCTTTTATTTGAACAAACTTGGTACACACCTACTTGAAGATGTTTCATGCTTAATATCTAAGCTCTAGCTATTTGGATTTTTTTTAAAGAAGATTTTTTAAGTTTTCATTATATACATATAGGGAAAACAATGACACCCTTGGGCGAGGCCAATTTTGACCCTAAGGCTTTTATTTGAACAAACTTGGAAGACACCCACCAGAAGATGTTTCAAAAATCTAAGCTATAGCTATTTGAATTTTTTAAAAGAAGATTTTTTAAGTTTTTACTATATACAAATAAGGAAAATCAATTACCCCCCCCCCCCCCCCCCAGCCAAATTTGACCAAGGGCTTTTATTTGAACAGACTTGGGAGATTCTGACCTAGATGATATTTCATGCCAAATATTTAAGCTCTAGCTCTTTCGGTTTTTTTTAAAGAAGATTTGTTTAAGTTTTTTCTTTGAGATGCCATGGCAACCAGAGTTCTGCATAGAATTAAATTCTTTGAACAATTTTAAAAGTTCACTTCCAAAGAAACATTCCTTTGAAGTTAGGATGAAATTGGCTTTGCCGTTTATGAGGAGATGTCATTTAAAGTAAAGTTTACAGACGGACGCCGGACGAAAAGCAATCACAAAAGCTCACCATGTCACTTTGTGACAGGTGAGCTAAAAACACAAAATGGTAAACATATTTACAGTACACACACACTATCGATATAGCTTTACACCTGGACAACTACACAGATCTGAAAGTGGGCCTGTTGACACATTGTAAATTAAGAAAGTAGCATTGATAACGTCAGATTGTAGGCAAGATCAAAGGTGTCAACTGAAAGCAGGATCTGGGGAAATTTTGGGAGGAAAATTAGAGAGAGCTTGCGGTGTAGATCAAAGGTATCATGGGTTGACAGGGTGATGATGTGTTTGTGGATTTTTTTACACTGTTTGAAGAGATTTCTTTTTTTTTAATCTTTTTTTTTTTATCTTTATTAAAAATGTTACGCTCCCGGGGGCGTTAAATCGGGATTTTACAGTAAGTCCAGAGCAATCACTCTACAAATATTGAATAAATCCACAGTGACAATGATACCCACAGATGCACAACTATATATTTTGATCAACATTGCTGTGAAGTTTCACGACTCTGTTGTGCCCCAAACTACCATTATTATAACTTTAGTAAAGGATCACCTAAGGACCATTTTTGTTATGTCTAATCAAAATCCATGTCTTAGGAGATGTTGCTTAAAGAAATTAAGGATAGCAACAAACAACAGAAAAACATGCTATCACAAAAAGTTTGTGCTCATGGGAGCGAAAAAATTTCTTTAAACAAATAATGTGCTTGACTTACTGTATAAGTGGATATTTTCATGTGTTGAAAAGTTAGTGAATCTAAAATTCCAGACATTTCGTGAAAGAAAATTTTAGCGAATCATGCAAGGGTAGAAAGAAATGACAGGTTGATTGATATCTAAGCTAAATGAAACTTTTTTTCGTCAATTACCAAAATTCACCAATATTTCCACATTACTAATCTAACCACTTATACAGTAAGTTTATTGAGATAATCTATCATTTAAACACTGTTTTAGCATTAAAATACTGTTATGACACATACTTGTAGTCATCATTTCATAACCTAGCTCCAAAATACTGGTTTATAATTAGTTGACTTCTTTAAATTAAGTTGCTACACAGTGTTTATGTTATGATATACTATAATTATACAAGTTATGAAATTGGACATGTGATGTACCAATCATATAGTCATCTGTCTGGTCCTTATGTCTACGAATTTCACCAGAGCAACGACCAACCAAGTTCCGGCATATACACTGCTCTAAATACAAATGCAATTCCTGTAACAAACATTGAAAATACATACAAACAATGCAGTAACATATATATTTTATATACCTGTAAATAGTTTTCTATATTTAATGCATGTATAACATGCACAATTATGATAGGACAAACAAAGACTGTTGTATGCCCCTTTCTAAGCAGGGTAAAGTAGATGAACTATGACCTTTGCATCAAAGGCATGCAAAGTGTTATAAGATTTTAAAATAAACAAATACTTTTTCATGTACTCAGAATTATGACCAAACATAACCATCGATGTGCATCTTTGACATTCAAGTATAACCTTCACCTTTCTTAATGAGACACAAAAGTATGCCTAGTGATTTCAAAATCCATTCATGAATGACAGAATTGATTATAAACCTTAAAAGTTCTACTTTTGCCTTGATCTTTAACATTACAAATTGTTTTCAAGTACCATTAATTAAAATCAAATAATAACAAAATCTGTTACTGAATGACAAAAAGATATGGACTGGACATGACTATCAATGCACTATCATATCATGATTTTTCACATTCAAGTATGAACTTGACCTTTGGGCTGCTGAACTAAATTTTGTTCAGTACATGTCATCTTTATAAGCAGCATATTTATGCACATTTATGTTACATTCCATCCATGCATAACAAAGCTATACACAAAAGATGACCATCTATTCAGAGTCATCACATCTGACATACAAGTGTGACCTTGACATTTGAACTGGAGACCTGACCCTATATGAGACATATCATCATCCTGTATAACACATTAATGTCCAATCAATTAAACATCCAGCTAGGAATGACAGAATTGTTGACTGGACACAACCTTAAATGCACTTTTATTAAAATTCAAATCAATAGTTTTTAATCTAAGTGTGACCTTGACCTTTCAGCTAGAGACCTAATACATGTGTGCAACTCATCATTATTATGTCCAACACATTTATGTATAATAAATTTTTAATCCATCCTGGAATTAAAGAATTGTTGACCAGACAGGAACATCAGTGTACTTTTATAAAAATTCATACCAGGATTTTTGATCTACTAGTGTTACATTGACTTTTGAGTTGGAAACCTGATACTTATGTCCTACACATCATCAGTATTTTTAAATCCATCCAGGAATGACAGAATTGTTGATTGGATCGAACATCAGTGCACTTTTATAACAAGAGCTGTCAATAGGACAGAATGCTCGACTATTCTCAGTGCATGTTAATGTAATAAAGAGCCTTGATAATGTAAGAATTAACAAAGAGGAAGATTTCATTCATACAAAATAATGTACATGACATAATAACGAGTCTAAGATATTGACCAAAGAATTTTGTTCACAAAAGGGCTTATTTCATTCAAAATCCATGCCAGAGTTATGATTCTTGGACAGTGACCATGAATTGTAATTCAAAAAGCATGAATTAAGTTACAAGTGAATATAATCAGTAGTTTTATGAAATATTAATGTTGCAAGCAAAACTTAATCAAAAATTTTCTTAATTCACAAAAGGTCAATTCAGTCAAAATCCATGTTAGAGTTATGGACCTTGGATAGTGACCTCAAATTATGATTCCAAAGTTTCATGTGAATACTTTCAATAATTATAAAGGTGATTGGATTGGTGCACCAAAAACTTAAACTAAGTTAAAAAGAGGAAATATTCAGAGAGTTATGGGCCTTTGATAGTAACCTTCAAATATGATCCCAGAAACATGTATAAAATTTTCAAATGAATATCTTTAATTGTTTAGAAGATTTGATGTTACATGCAAAACTTAAACCAAGTATTTCAAAGAAGTTCAAAAAGGGCCATAATTCAGTCAAAATCCATGTCAGTTAGTTTATACTAATTTCTTTTAGATCAATTGTGCTGGAAGCTATAAGCTTATTGAAAAACTCTTGAATCTGTTCCTTGAACCAACCAATACTTAGCAATGAGTGTAGTTTCTTGCTCACAGAAACAATGGCTTGCCTCATATGGGTTTGAATCCATACAGCCAGCAATCCTTAGATAAAAAGTCTGGCATGTTAACCACTTGGCTATGCCACCACTCAAACACACTATTTTATAAAACAAGAGGGTCATGATGGCCCTGAAATCGCTCACCTGTATATAGAAACTCTCCATGACAAGGAAAAAGTAATATTGTAAACTATAAACAAAAGCAGATATAAAATGTAAATCCTATAATTATATCACAAAGTTCATATTTGTAACTGAAATAGTGCATTTGTAAAAACTTAATATATACATGTAAAGAAATCAATGACCCTCCACCCGGGACGGGGCCAATTTTAACCCCAGGGCTTTTATTTGAACAAACTTAGTAGACACCCATTAGAAGATGTTTTATGCTAAATATCTAAGCTCTAGCTCTTTGTTTTGTTTTTTTAAAGAAGATTTTTCAAGTCTTTACTATATACATACACTGTAGCCTCGATAACTCGCTCTTCATTATAACGCTAATCTCAGTATAGCGCTCATAGACCGGCTCCCAAAAAAAAAAAAAAATTTTTTTTAAGTAGACTTGGATTTATAGCGCGCTATAACGCTTGCTCAATTTGACAGTCAAGTACAATAAACAATTGTTATAAGGACATTTATGAGCGCAAAAGGTGTGAAAAACATGTACAGGTAAGCGTTTATCCGCTCTTTTGTTGTTTTACCTGTCTTCAAATTGTTTCCAAAATCTCAAATTCATATCATAACTGTGACATTGGCAACCGGTGGTGAGTATAAATAAACTAAAATTCACACACATATCTTTGACATGTAAACCTCGCTGAATTAAATAACCCACAAGCCCAAAATCAATTTAAAATCCTGCAATGTAAATAGAGCGGCCATGACAGGAAGTAATTGGCGTTTGATTTACTAGGGGACACAACTAAAGCTGGACTGTAAATTACAGTGTTATTTACAGTCCAGCTTTAGTTGTGTCCCCTAGTTAATCAAACGTCATTACAGTAATGGCTGTTTACACTACATTCATGATTTATAATTTTCTTTCCAAAGTTTTTCGTTTCTTTTAAATATAATTAGTATTATTTGTGAATATAATATATGTTTACATCATTGAATGGTTTTAGAAAAAGACAATGTCGATATTCATTGAGTAAGTAAAAAACATCAGCGTTATATTTATACATGTGGTGGGTGGGGTAATGCGGTAATTTCGCAATGAGCATTCTAATGAGAGCCTCGTTAGAACGCGGTGTTGAGACATTGGACCCCAACATGAGCGTTTTAATGAGGCTGAAGTGTATAGGGAAAACAACGATCCCCCAGGCAGGGCCAATTTTAACCCCATGGCCCTTATTTGAACAAACTTGGTAGACACCCATAAGAAGATGTTTCATGATAAATATCTAAGCTCCAGCTCTTTGGGTTTATTAAAAGAAGATTTTTTAAGTTTTAACTTTATACATATATGGAAAAACAATGACTCCCTGGGGCGAGGCCAAGTTTGACCCCAGGGCTTTTATTTGAACACACTTGGTTGATACTCACTAGAAATGCTTCATGCCAAATATCTAAGCAATAGCTCTTTGGGTTTTTTAAAAGAAGATTTTTTTAAATTTTTACTATATACATATATGGAAAAACATTGACCCTCTGGGGCCGGGCCAATTTTGACCCCAGGTCTTTTACTTAATCAAACAAGGTAGACATTCACTAGAAGATGTTTCATGACAAATATCTAAGCTCTAGCTCTTTTGGCTTTTCCAAAAAGATTTTTTAAGTTTTTTCTTTTGGTTGCCATGGCAACCAGGGTTCTGCATGGAATAAAATTCTTTGAACAATTTTTAAAGGTCACAACCAAAAGGAACATTCCGGTGAAGTTTGAATGAAATTGGCTCAGCAGTTTATGAGGAGATGTCATTTAAAGTAAAAGTTTAAGGATGCCGGACTAAAAGCGATTACAAAAGCTCACCATGTTACTCTGTGACAGGTGAGCTAAAAAAATAATTTCATGATGTGAATGGGGGCAATTTTCACTTAAACTTATGTTAAGATTGATATTATATGTTAAACAAATTACCTTTTTATAAATATTGAGTGAAGTTTGATCTGAATGAAAAGGTCTTTCAAACTCATCAACAAGTATAGCTAGTCTTTTTATCTCATCATTTAGAGTGCTAGCAACCTGAAATATAAATATTTTTGCAAGTTGCAATGCAAAGAAGTTGCAAAACATATAAGCCCATGTATACACGATTATAACATAATAGAAAAGTAACTGCACAAAACAAATGATACACACGAGGGATGTCCAGAATATACACAGACTTCAAAATTGTCTGATGTACACAAATAAAATGTGGAAGTTGGTGATTAAAACATTTTACTGCTGTACAAACCACTACATACCAGTTTCTACTGTTATTGTAAAACTTAACAAGATTATATAGAGGATATTTGTTTAGTTCAGTGTACAGGCTGTCCAGCACCTTCCGACATAAAATTAGGGCAAATTTTAGGGCAATATTTTAGAAATTTTAGGGCTAAAATTAGGAATTTTAGGGTACGTAACAGAAATTTTAGGGCTAAAATTTGGAATTTTATAACTAAACTATGGCCCCAAAAGACCACGATGTGGGCTAACCTTTGCATATTTGATACAAAAGTAACTCACAAATAATGCTCTAGTTTAGTAAGAGCAAAGGTGTCTACCAGTGTGGACTCACTGGTCAACTGCCTCCCCTGCGGAAATGGTCATAGTCAAACCATGTTCAAACCATATTTGAAATAAGGTTTTTCAATGGCTGAACATGTCAAAATAACATGTTCTACCTATGTTTTGGGAATGTTATAACCATGAGTGTCTAAAAGGAATTCTTATACAGTGAAATTCATGCACAATGCAGCTTTTGAATATGGACAAATGAAATTTTTGTACAAGTAGGAAGTAAAAAGGCATTAGCCTTAGTACAGTCATTTGAATAAATGGGAAGCATCTATAATCAACACACAGAATTGCACATCAAAAAAGTTCATCACACAGACCATTCAATTGCAGTTTATCTAGATCATATAATTGCAAAATGTGTGTACACGGTTAGAATTAATTTTGCAAAGTCTATGTTAACACATTTAGTACTTTACAATGTTGTTTTGAAATTATGCAAATTTAAATAAAAAGAGTTGTGAGTAAACAAATTGTACATTAATTTTTGATAACTATTTATACATGTTTTTAATTAAGATTGTGTTACAACAGCTTCATAATGATCATTTTCAAATATGATATGATATAAATGGACCACTTCAGCCATTTGGAAAAAAAGAACAAACATAAAATTCAAGATATCTGGAGTTGGCAAAACGGTATCAAAATATTCCAGAATAAGTCGACCTCTTATGGATATGATTTAAGTTTTAGGACCATGATATGGTAGTGTTTTTGCTGTTAACTGACAACATGATTATAAACAACTGCTTTGATTATGAAATAGTACTGTTACGGATATAGTCAAAGTAACTTTTAGTTGGGAACGAAACCATTTCAATGTCACCAATTTTGAGTTTGCAAATCATGGCAAAATCATTTTTGACCACGTTCAAAACATGGTCCACTTTATGTTCAAGATCATTTTTCGCAGTGTTACAAGTTATAAGTATGTTTATAACAAAAGATAATTTTTTTTAGGAATTTCAGTGAAAATATAGGGCATTTTTAGGAATTCCTTTTGAATTTTTCACTTTTTTAGGAATTTTAGCCAAAGTGAAAAAAATTAGGATTTTTTAGGAATTTTAGGGACGCTGGACAGCCTGAGTGTAAGATCGAAATATATTTCACCAAGTGAGCACTAAAAAGGTATATTTCACGAGTGGGCGCAGCCACGAGTGAAATATGAACTTTTGGTGTTCAGGAGGTGAAATTTATTTCTATCTTACACTAAACTTAACAGATATTCTTTTTATTATATGCAAAATAATGTTTTAACGACATTTTAACGTAATGCTAAATGAAAAGTGCACCAAATAATAATACAACGTGACGTCATTTACGACATCACGCAGTATGTTGGTTTCCAGTACTGTTCACGCTGGTATTTCACTGAAACAACATAACAGGCTTAAATTCAAAACAGTGAAAATTATCAAATTGATAATTTCACAGTTTCAAACAGTGAAATAACAAGTTTTTTATTTCACTGATATATTTCTATAAACTAATGAAAAGCATGTAATAAATTACTGTTCAGACTGTTTCCTTAGAACAGATGTCATAATATTAACAACTTTAAATATGGAGCCTTTAGAATTCCTTTGCTTATTTGAATAACAACAGTCTAAAGCCATGACATTACTAAATGATGATGTTTCATATCCCATATTTTTCTCAGTAGGAAGGCATATTGTTTACATTCACTAGCACTGTTGTATAACACACAAATTTGGGTCCTAAGTCTCAAACCCCAATATAAACAGCGTTCTGATATATAACCCTGACTTTGATCTTGTAGGTAGAAATTCATGGTATAACCCAACCAACAACAGTGACATTTTATTGGTTCAAAAGATACAGGGCGGACATGAAACTTTGAAATTCATACATTATGACTAAGTGTGATCCTCACCTGAGCAAGGTCAAAGCCGTGCTCTTCTTCTCATTATGGTTTCTGCCAATTAGTTTTAATTTCCTGCCATTGGTTCAAAAGATCAAAAATCGAACACAAAACAACCAGGTGTAAAACAATATGTGCCAAAAAAAATTCAGGCGTGTAAAAATAGCAACATAATATTTTGAGAACATTTTACTCTGATTACCTTCATTCAATTTACAGAGATATTCAATGTTACATCTCTTAAAAGAATTGACCCTTACATTATGTAAACAACATAACTTTATTGTTCATTAATTTCATAAAAATTGTAAAAAGCTGTTATAGTAATACATGTCTATACAAGAAACCATTTAAGATATGCAAACTAGCATTATCTCTATATTCAGATCTTTAGGTTAGCAATATAGTAACATTAGTCAGGAAGCCAATTTTAACTCCCACTGGATGAAGACAGTTGTTCATAGCTATTTGTATAAAGATAATCTTACCAATATTTCTAATGTGACTGCTGTTTTCAAGTGTCACTTTAAGTTGAGACATATTAAAGGAGAATTTATGTTAATTTTATGCCTACCTTTCTCTCAATATCTTCTACTATGCTTTTTATTTTATCTTTGATCTCTGCAGTAAGTAACATTAGTTGCTTTTCCATGTAGTCTAGCTCATCTGCCATTTCTCTACGTGTCTTCTTGGTATCACCCCTGTTTGAAATTAAACCAACAACGTGTTTAGTAAACACAAATGTCCACTGCTCAGATTATTGTCAGAAACAAAATTTTCAATAAGAGCACAACAAAACCAGGGCAATAAACTATGTTTAAAAAATAAAAAATAATTTTTCAACAAGGGGAAAAAACCCAATCAAAAAATTGACTAAATGACCTCTAGGGTGGGGGTATTTTTTACTATTGGTGCAGAATTCATAATTTTTTTTAAAGAAGTCTAGTAGGCAATGCTATGTGCCAAATATAGCAGCTCTGAGAATTATAGTATATATTATATATCCACAAAAAGATATTTTCCGAAACATAAGTCTAAAGAAAGTGACTTAAGTATCAGGGCCAATTTTGACCTTAGGGTCATGACTAATAAAACAAGTCCCCTCGTACATCAAAGACACGAATGATTTTTTGCTAAAACTTAATAACTTAGGAAAAATACCCCCTGATTCAATATTAGTAACTATTGACGTAAGCGCCCTATACACATCTATCCCTCACCACGAAGGTATTAAAGCTCTAAAGATAGCCTTAGACCAACGCCCAACACAAGAACCAAGAACTTGGATCATTCTTAGACTTATGCTTTTTGTACTGAAAAAAACTGGTTTTAAATTCAATGATAAATTTTATGAACAGATATCAGGTACTACAATGGGTACGAAATGCGCGCCAAGTTACGCCATACTATTTATTGTCCTACCTAGAAACAAGATTTCCTCGCAACCCAAAAATATAAACCATTGGAATGGTGGCGGTTCATTGACGACATTTTTATGATATGGGCCCACCCTCGACAGGAATTGTATTCCTTCCTGGAGGCTATAAACAGCTTTCACAAGTCAATCAAGTTCACTTACGAAGTCGACACAGAAACGGCTCACTTTTTGGATGTTACAATCACAAAAGACTCTAACGGGTACTTAAACACAACGGTATACACGAAACCCACCGACGCTCACCTTTACCTCCATTATTCATCATATCATCCAGATCACCAGAAAAATAGCATACCGTACAGCCAAGCTGTCAGGATTAGACGCATCTGCAGCGACCAAATAGCATATGAAGAATGCACAAGGAAACTGGAAACCAACCTAAACAGCCAGAGGATATCCGTTACAGTTAATTAAAAAAAGCTATCAAAAAGGCCTCTGCACTAAATCGAGACGAGCTACTTCTTCGTCAAAACAAACCTATTATAAGAAAAACAATTCCATTCACGTACACATTTAATCCTAAAAATCCACCAGTTAGCAAATTGATAAACACGCTCAAAAATATTCTATACGAAAACGATACGACTAAATTTATTAAAGATACAGCAATTTTAGCAGTCCAAAGACGGACAACTAATATAAAATCGATTCTTGTTAGATCAGCATTACAGGTACCCTCAAAAATCAGCGGCAGCTACCCGTGCGGCGAAAAATGTTACGCATGCCCATTTATGGCCAAATGTAAGGAATTCAAAAGCTCGCAAACGAATAAAACCTACGAGATCAAAGGCAACTATACTTGCAAAAGTACGAGTATTATATATTTAATTACATGTAAGAAATGCAATATTCAATATGTAGGTCAATCTGGTAACTCATTTAGAGACAGGCTCTATGGACATTCAGCTGATATATGCGCTAAAAAACAACGTGAAAAACCGGTTTCCCGCCACTTTTTGACGCACGACGTCACGAACATGAACATCGTCATAATACAAACAACAACAAAAAACACGAACGTCGGACTTAGAACTGAAGAAGTTTGGATACGTCTTTTGAAAACCAAACAACCAGAAGGTTTAAATATCATTCAGTAAATCAAATATGGAAGTATATACAGCTAGAAAAGCTACGACAGATGACATAAATGCGGAAATCAATGAAGAGCCAGCAGTATGGGACAGAATATCACGTAAGAAACAGAAGAGAACAAGTACAGCCAACTTCATGAGATTATGTGACATATGTGGATATATCTCAACAACATCCTCCATGTTTTACAAACACAAGAAGAAACATGATCAAACTGAAAAAGAAAGAACAGAATACGAGTGTAGTTGGTGCCTAAAAACATTTTCCAGTAAATCCAACCTCAAACGGCATGCAAGAAAATCGATGCATATGACGGAAGTGGAGCTACAACAACCAAAGAGAGCAAATAGAACACCAAAACCAACAGTGGAGAAGTATGATCCGAAATTGAATTATAAAGTGACCCCTAGATTTAGGATCATTGAAGGAAAGAATCCAAGAACAGAAACAAAACAACCCAAACAAGAAGACGTTGAGGACTGTAAAATCCAGGTACTAGACCTTATTACACCCATAGTTTCACCAAATAAAACTCTCCATGATACAACTCTCTGTAGAGACGAATATGGACAAAATAGCGAAAGCAACGAACTAATCATTAACATTGGCAACATCTACGGAATTTTTCAGAAGATCGACAAATGCACGTGTAAACTGTTTTATCAATAAACTAACCAAGGACTTGGCACAGTGCCAATTACCAGAACCTTCATGTTACTATATATAGTAACATACGTCATTTACATATCCGATCATTTTGTATACTTTAGCTATATATTTTCAATGTAAAATTGTCCTGAAGAAGGTCTATAGTAAGACCGAAACCGGTAGACCATCATTAAAAGCAGTTAAACCTACCCTGGTGTTGGTCGTTTTGCATCTCCTATATCCCGCTTTTTCTGTGTTTTAATACATCGGAGTTGCACGCATTCCGTTGGGGATCCGCCCACACCGGGTTACCGAAGAGTCATCAAGAGCAGTGTTGGTAGACTTATAGTCATCCACCTACTACCCCGTATCCAGTAGTGGATCCACTGCAACAGGCATCTTTGAGCCCTTGGAGAGGGAATCCTGCCAACAAATGAATCTCGACCGCAGTGAGGACGAAACGTACGTAGAGACATCTGCATTAACACCGTCAGCCTCCTTGACAACACTTCCGGTAATTGCGGTACAGACTAATTCAAACCCAAAGAAACGGAAAATTGAATCCGATCAACCACGGAAAATAGAAGAAACGAATATCACGAGATTTAAAGTACTCAAAAAACTACACATACAAAATACACGTACTCAACACCACATTGAATATCTACAAAAGTGTATTGATAACAAATCAACCCCTAAATCCTTACGCGTTAATCTTACCCCACAAGTACCGGTAATCAACTCCAAATTACACATTGAGTGGGAAGAAGCTCATTTAGAATTTGGCCAAAAATTGTGCAAAATCCTTCTTCAATACTGGCAAAATAGACAGAACTCCCTCTTAGAAGAAATTTCAAGCATTGATAACGATTTAAAGAGCATAACTAGTCAAGAACAAATCGACATAATAACGGATATTATATCTGGAATCAAACTAAGCGTAGAAAAAGAAATTTCAACTAAGAATATATCACCACAAAATAGAAATCCCAACACAAAGAATGCCCAATAGAAGATTTAGACCTAAGGCTAAGCACAATCAACAAAAACTATTAAGCAACTGCAACAAATGGGTAATTAATCTTTCAAATATAACTCTTACGCTGCATGAAAAATCAATATTATGTAAAGGTTTATCATTTTGCCCAACACCAGCATTGTATGACCAAATTGAGTTTGAAAAGAATACACTACTTTTCAACAGGCGAGTTCGATTGGCACATTTTTTTCAAGATCAACCTGACAACAACCAGATAACTTCTCCCTTCAAAGAAAGCTCAGGATGGACACCACCATCAGGCAAATCTCCGAACCTAGACGCATTCCTTATGGCCCTTACAGTAAAATTATCAAAATGGAAACAGAAAAACAAGACGGCATCCAATACCAAGCTTGAGGAATGGCAAGCTTTAAAATCGTTAAGGAGCAACCCCAAGATAGTCATAAAACCCGCTGACAAGGGTGGTGCCATTGTCATTCTCAACAAATCTGATTATATAAATGAAGGTTTAAAACAACTAGGAAACGCATCATTTTATCGCGAAATACTCAATGACATCACATACAAGAGTACACAGGAAATAAACAATTTCTTAAACTACCTCAAGAAACATCACCTTTTACCAGATGAACACGTAAAATACATGCAACCTAAACATCCTCAGACCCCCATATTTTATATGCTCCCCAAAATACATAAAAAAGATAACCCCGGGAGACCAATAGTCTCAGCATGCGAAGGCCCTACTGAAAAAATCTCTTCATACATTGATCACTTTATCAAACCATTAGCCCAACAAGTCCCCTCGTACATCAAAGACACGAATGATTTTTTGCTAAAACTTAATAACTTAGGAAAAATACCCCCTGATTCAATATTAGTAACTATTGACGTAAGCGCCCTATACACATCTATCCCTCACCACGAAGGTATTAAAGCTCTAAAGATAGCCTTAGACCAACGCCCAACACAAGAACCAAGAACTTGGATCATTCTTAGACTTATGCTTTTTGTACTGAAAAAAACTGGTTTTAAATTCAATGATAAATTTTATGAACAGATATCAGGTACTACAATGGGTACGAAATGCGCGCCAAGTTACGCCATACTATTTATGTCCTACCTAGAAACAAGATTTCTCGCAACCCAAAAATATAAACCATTGGAATGGTGGCGGTTCATTGACGACATTTTTATGATATGGGCCCACCCTCGACAGGAATTGTATTCCTTCCTGGAGGCTATAAACAGCTTTCACAAGTCAATCAAGTTCACTTACGAAGTCGACACAGAAACGGCTCACTTTTTGGATGTTACAATCACAAAAGACTCTAACGGGTACTTAAACACAACGGTATACACGAAACCCACCGACGCTCACCTTTACCTCCATTATTCATCATATCATCCAGATCACCAGAAAAATAGCATACCGTACAGCCAAGCTGTCAGGATTAGACGCATCTGCAGCGACCAAATAGCATATGAAGAATGCACAAGGAAACTGGAAACCAACCTAACAGCCAGAGGATATCCGTTACAGTTAATTAAAAAAGCTATCAAAAAGGCCTCTGCACTAAATCGAGACGAGCTACTTCTTCGTCAAAACAAACCTATTATAAGAAAAACAATTCCATTCACGTACACATTTAATCCTAAAAATCCACCAGTTAGCAAATTGATAAACACGCTCAAAAATATTCTATACGAAAACGATACGACTAAATTTATTAAAGATACAGCAATTTTAGCAGTCCAAAGACGGACAACTAATATAAAATCGATTCTTGTTAGATCAGCATTACAGGTACCCTCAAAAATCAGCGGCAGCTACCCGTGCGGCGAAAAATGTTACGCATGCCCATTTATGGCCAAATGTAAGGAATTCAAAAGCTCGCAAACGAATAAAACCTACGAGATCAAAGGCAACTATACTTGCAAAAGTACGAGTATTATATATTTAATTACATGTAAGAAATGCAATATTCAATATGTAGGTCAATCTGGTAACTCATTTAGAGACAGGCTCTATGGACATTCAGCTGATATATGCGCTAAAAACAACGTGAAACCGGTTTCCCGCCACTTTTTGACGCACGACGTCACGAACATGAACATCGTCATAATACAAACAACAACAAAAAACACGAACGTCAGACTTAGAACTGAAGAAGTTTGGATACGTCTTTTGAAAACCAAACAACCAGAAGGTTTAAATATCATTCAGTAAATCAAATATGGAAGTATATACAGCTAGAAAAGCTACGACAGATGACATAAATGCGGAAATCAATGAAGAGCCAGCAGTATGGGACAGAATATCACGTAAGAAACAAAAGAGGACAAGTACAGCCAACTTCATGAGACTATGTGACATATGTGGATATATCTCGACAACATCCTCCATGTTTTACAAACACAAGAAGAAACATGATCAAACTGAAAAAGAAAAAACAGAATACGAGTGTAGTTGGTGCCTAAAAACATTTTCCAGTAAATCCAACCTCAAACGGCATGCAAGAAAATCGATGCATATGACGGAAGTGGAGCTACAACAACCAAAGAGAACAAATAGAACACCAAAACCAACAGTGGAGAAGTATGATCCGGAATTGAATTATAAAGTGACCCCTAGATTTAGGATCATTGAAGGAAAGAATCCAAGAACAGAAACAAAACAACCCAAACAAGAAGACGTTGAGAACTGTAAAATCCAGGTACTAGACCTTATTACACCCATAGTTTCACCAAATAAAACTCTCCATGATACAACTCTCTGTAGAGACGAATATGGACAAAATAGCGAAAGCAACGAACTAATCATTAACATTGGCAACATCTACGGAATTTTTCAGAAGAACGACAAATGCACGTGTAAACTGTTTTATCAATAAACTAACCAAGGACCTGGCACAGTGCCAATTACCAGAACGTTCATGTTACTATATATAGTAACATACGTCATTTACATATCCGATCATTTTGTGTACTTTAGCTATATATTTTCAATGTAAAATTGTCCTGAAGAAGGTCTATAGTAAGACCGAAACCGGTAGACCATCATTAAAAGCAGTTAAACCTACCCTGGTGTTGGTCGTTTTGCATCTCCTATATCCCGCTTTTTCTGTGTAATAAAACTTTTGTAGAAACTACAAATTGATGCTGCATGCCAAATATCAATAAGACTTAAATGTGTTTTCCAAAATAAGTTCATATAAATTAAGTGGCCCCAGGGCTGGCCAATATTTGTAGAGATTCACAACGTTATGCTACATTCTAAATATCTAAACTCTGGGCATTATAGTTTCATACAATAGGATTTAAATGTTTTATTTCTACATAAGTATATATAAATTAAGTTGTCCCCAGGTCAGTCCAAATATTGACTCACAGGGCATGATTCATATTAGTTCTGTGGTGGTCCACAAGGCCAATTTTGATTTATATCAATTTTGTAGAGGTCAACAAGGCAATGCTACATAACAAATATTTAAACTCTAAGCATTGCAGTTTCACTCAATAAGACTTAATTGTATTTTCTCATACTAGACTTAGACGGACGGACATTCCAATTCAATGGACTAAGGGGCCATTTCTTTTGTTATTTTCTTTTGTTTAATAGAGGGCCATGGCCCCTTATTCTATTGTAACGGAATAAACTCTATTGTTCTCTTTTGTTCTGTTTACAGTTTGATGGCTCCCTACTTTTCTTTAATAGCACAGACAGACGGAGGTTGTTCCTATAATCCCCTTTTTGCTACGCGGAAGGGGATTAATTAGTCAAGCTAAAAACCAGACAAGGAAGCTGTTGTAAGTAGGGAACCTCTCCATATACTTTAAATAGTCATGCTAAATCTTACATTTGTTCCTGACTTTTCTTTAATAAATCTTCCATCAGTTTTCTTAAATCTGTTATAATACTTTTTCCTCTGTTTGTATGCTGCTCAAACTTGGTACGCACTGCAGACTTAGATATACACTCCTGTAATAAATTGTAATAATTTGATTTTAATATACCATTTTTTAAGATCATTTCTATAACACATCAAAGTTAAGGAATGACCATCTTAATGCATTACCTTTGCTATAGGCTAGAACTACTGTTTAATATATTGAAACTTATGGCCATTGGTTTGAACCCCTGAAGGCTCAACTTTTTTTTTCTTCTAACATAATATATGTATCTCTCATATCCCTTTTGGGAAAAAAAAAAGTTTTAAATTTTAATTATTTACCTAATATAGGTATTCACTGGCTAAAAAATGCTAAATTTAGTACCTGTGATTTTCAAAGTGCAATAAAATCAAAACAGACAGTAAAAGTATCTAATATTTTACAAGATCAACCAATATACTTTTGAGAAAATTTAAGGAAACTCATTTTAGGGATTTCTTAATTAGGTTCTCTAAGTAGGAAACACGTGTTAAAAATGGGTATCGGTAGGGTAACATTTTTATACATATTTCAAAAAATGGGTGGGGTAGGGTAACATTTTTATACATATTTCAAACAAGAGGGCCATGATGGCCCTGAGGTCGCTCACCTGTATATAGCCCCCCCCCACCCCCGGGCCAATTTTTACCCAAGGGCTTTTATTTGTTTATTTGAACAGACTTGGAAGACACCCATAAGAAGATGTTTCATGCTAAACATCTAAGTTCTAACTCATTGGCTTTGTTAAAAGAAGATTCTTAAAGTTTTTACTGTACACATATAGTTAAAAACAATGACACCCCTGGGGCAGGGCCAGTTTTGACCCCCAGGCGTTTATTTTAACAAACTTTGTGGATATTTACTTAAAGATGTTTCATGCTTAATATCTAAACTCTAGCTATTTGGGTTTTTCCAAAGAAGATTTTTAAGTTTTTACTATACACATATAAGGAAAATCAATGACCCCCCCCCCCGGGCGGGGCCAGTTTTGACCCCAGGGCTTTTATTTGAACATACTTGGTAGACACCCTTTAGAACATGTTTCATGCTTAATATCTTAGCTCTAGCTCTTTTAGTTCTTTAAAAGAAGATTTTTAAGTTTTTACTATATGCATATAGGGAAAATCAATGACCCCCTGGGGCGGGGCCAATTTTGACCCCAGGGCTTTTATTTGAAGAAACTTGGTAGACATTCACTAGAAGATGTTTCATGCCAAATATCTAAGCTCTAGCTCTTATGGTTCTTTAAAAGAAGATTTTTTAAGTTTTTACTATATGCATATAGGGAAAATCAATGACCCCCAGGGGCGGGGCCAATTTTGACCCCAGGAATTTTATTTGAACAAACTTGGTAGACACCCATTATAACATGTTTCATGCTAAATATCTTAGCTCTAGCTCTTTGGGTTCTTTAAAAGAAGATTTTTTAAGTTTTTACTATATGCATATAGGGAAAATCAATGACCCCCCCCGGGCGGGGCCAATTTTGACCCCAGGGCTTTTATTTGAACAAACTTTGTAGACACTCATTAGAAGATGTTTCATGCTAAATATCTTAGCTCTAGCTCTTTGGGTTCTTTAATAGAAGATTTTTTAAGTTTTTACTATATGCATATAGGGAAAATCTATGACCCCCTGGGGCAGGGTCAATTTTGACCCCAGGGCTTTTATTTGAACCAACTTGGTAGACATTCACTAGAAGATGCTTCATGCTAAATATCTAAGCTCTAGCTCTTATGGTTCTTTAAAAGAAGATTTTTAAGTTTTTACTATATGCATATAGGGAAAATCAATGACCCCCTGGGGCGGGGCCAATTTTGACCCCAGGGCTTTTATTTGAAGAAACTTGGTAGACATTCACTAGAAGATGTTTCATGCCAAATATCTAAGCTCTAGCTCTTATGGTTCTTTAAAAGAAGATTTTTTAAGTTTTTACTATATGCATATAGGGAAAATCAATGACCCCCAGGGGCGGGGCCAATTTTGACCCCAGGGATTTTATTTGAACAAACTTGGTAGACACCCATTATAACATGTTTCATGCTAAATATCTTAGCTCTAGCTCTTTGGGTTCTTTAAAAGAAGATTTTTTAAGTTTTTACTATATGCATATAGGGAAAATCAATGACCCCCCCAGGCGGGGCCAATTTTGACCCCAGGGCTTTTATTTGAACAAACTTGGTAGACACTTACTAGAAGATGTTTCATGCCAAATATCTAAGCTCTAGCTCTTATGGTTTTTTAAAAGAAGATATTTAAAGTTTTTTCTTTTGGTTGCCATGGCAACCAGAGTTCTGCATGGAATTAAATTCTTTGAACAATTTTTAAAGGTGACCACCAAAGGAACATTCCTGTGAAGTTTGGATGAAATTGGCTCAGTGGTTTATGAGGAGATGTCATTTAAAGCAAAAGTTTACGGACGGACGGACGGACGCCGGACGAAAAGCGATCACAAAAGCTCACCCTGTCACTTTGTGACAGGTGAGCTAAAAATGGGTGGGGTAGGGTAACATTTATATACATATTTCATAAACTTTGAGTAGAAACAATCATTTTGTTTATGTGGATTGTTAGCTGAATGTTACATTTTGTTTCTTACCAAAAATTAATGGGGAAAACATATTTCATAAGGATGATATTGTAGAATATTTGAAGGTTCCTTATTTCTGTAAAAGTGCCCTTCTAACAGCCAAGATTAAATTCAGAAAAGTGGCAATAACTTGTTTCTGTATGATAAAGTTTGTTTAAATTTTGCATACAAGTGTCCTTTAAAGTATATAGTGCCCGTTAGGGTCGTCATACCTTAAAGATCCTGTAACTCAATTTTTTTTATGGTTTTATATCATAAATCTGATGCTCAAATGAAGATTTATCAATATTGTAAGTTCAAAAAAGCATAAGTTGTAAAAATTTACATTTTACTTTTCATGTAAATAAAGGGGAGTAATTAGAAATCTATATACGATAAAGTCTAAGTCAAATTTTTCAATAAGAAATCAATGCGGATAAATATTTGCAGTACATATTAAACATATTCTTGGATGTTTGGAAATTTTTAAATGTTTTAATAGAATAATTATTTACATATATAAAATATTCAAGTGTTGTTACATCCTTAATTACAACATACAAGATTTTGTCACAGGATTGACAAATACCCCTATGCCGTGTTGAGACAAGATTCTATTAACTTTTTTTAAAGATCAATTTTTACTATGTGCATATAGGAGAAACCCATGACCCCCAGGGCAAGGCAAATTTTGACCGCAGGGACGTAACTTGAACAATCTTGGTACAGATTTATTACATTTTGTTTCATGCAAAACTTCTTAGCTCTAGTTGTTGGGCTATCAGAGAGCATAGAGAAAAGTGATAACTGTTCTTTGAATTTGGTGAATACAGAATGAAACTCTAAACCAAATGCTTTGTCTAGCACAACTCATTGAACTCAGCCAAATATCATTCAACAGGAAAACACATCTCATATGCACAAGGACTTGAGATGTCGAACATTTCTGTAAAGTGTCATTCAAATTAGCAAACAGGACGTTTCGGCCCCAAACCAAATCGGCCCCTTTGCAAAAATCGGCCCCTAGACGTTTCGGCCCTTTTCCGCGAGACGTTTTGGCCCTTTTTTATTACAGTTTTATTCAAGTATAAAAGGAATTTTTATACTTAAAATCCTTAAAATTGTGGTATATTGATTGATGGCACACAAACAATTATGACATTTTAATTTTTAATTGATAATCCATTATAGATCTATCAATAGCTATTTAGATAAATGATTTTTTCAAGGTGTAACAATAAATATACCTTAATAAAGACACTTAATATTTAATTGACAAATGCAAAAACTTTTTGATTAACAAAATTAATCACAAATATACTTCAAAAATCATTATCTTTTGATCTCTTTTAATAATTTAGCTAACACTTTAGATATATGTTTTTTTTCAAGGTTTAACAAATTAGTTATTTATAGCGTATTGCTTATAAGCCGATCGTGATATCAAAGATTTTTTTTAACTTTTGATTTGATATAATTTCTTGATAATATATGCTCTGATTGAAAATCTATCACTTATTGTAGAAACTGTTTGTTTTTTATATACAAAAATGTTTGTTTACATAGTATTGTTTGTTTTATGTTATAATTTTTTAACTGTTATTCGTTGTATTGTATTGCTAAAAGTCGTCACTTACTATTAAATTAATAGTTGTTGATAATAAATGTTTGTATTGTTCTGTGTCTTGCTTTTTAATCGTTCAAGTTAAAAAAATAAAAATATTTAGGGGCCATAACTCAAAATCATTGAATTGGAAAATGCCGACTATATGCACAACTAGACTTGGTACAAATCATTCCTGTAAAGTTTGGATGGAATTGCACTAGGAGTTTTTGAGGTGTAGAAGGAGACTTCATCAAAATTAATAGCAAATGAAGGTTTGTAATTGACAGACAGACCGATCAACAGACGACGGGGAAATGATCCCTATGTCACCACTACTTTGTAGCACAAAAATCATACTGTTACATACTTGGCATGTGAGAAAACTATTTTCTGTTCAGTAAAATTACTTTTATAAGCTAAGTTTATGATGCCCAAAAATGGATTTATATATTATGTAAACATGATTAGGCAAATACATAACTACAGTTTAAAATGAAGTACCTCAAATACTCTTTCAAAATTTGCAAATGTGAATAACCTCTCTTGAAAGCCTTCTTGCATGACACCAGCTGAAATAAATTATGAGTTATTGACAATACATACCATCATTGTTTTAAGACACAAGCTAAAATAAATTACAACAACATCTTCAGTGAAGACAGCATGGTCAACCAATCAAATAGTATACTGGTCAATGTAAAGGAAGACAAGAGTGCCATTATGGCCCTTTATAACTCACCTGAGTAGAAATGAACATGACTGCATTATTAAGACATTGGTAAAAACATCAATTTTACAAATTTCAGTGTGCAGGGGTTGGTGTGTTAAAAGAACAAACTTGTTGAATTGATACATTTCATATTATTAATAAGTAATAGACTAAATACTAAGTACTGGTTGGAGACCACCAAAACCGGACAACCATCAAACCCGGACGACCCCAAAAATGCTTAATTTAGTTTTTTTCTTTGTTCAGTGGTTTTCGATCTATCAGTCACTTTATTATCAGCATGCATGTTTCTTCTATGATTAATAAAATTTATTTCAACTTACGTAAATGGTAATATTTTATTGTATATTTCAAGAATGTTAATGCTGAAAATTGGGGCATCAAGAGTACAATACCTGACCTCATTTACCATCTATAATCATTTGCAGAGTAAACAAAAGAATATCCAAAACTTCAGCATTTGCTGCTGATACATTGTAACATTATGTTAAAAATAAAAAAATAAAACATCCAAGCTTTTATCTAAATTAAATCAAGTTGTTTACATAACCGTCCGGACACATGGTACTGTAGCGTGGACAATTTAGGTAATTTTGATACCCTCGACGACAGGCCTCAGATGTAAGTGTCAATATAATCAGAAATAAACAAAATAGTTTGTTAGTTAGGAGAAGAACCTAGCTGTACTTTGTCAAATTTTCAGGTCTCTAGGTAAGAAATTATGAAATCTGTATAGAAAAATGTTCAAAAAGTGTCCGGTTGATGGTCCCCAACCAGTATATTTACACTGAACAAAACTTTTAGATGGTGACTAGAATTTTAAAAAGTTTTTATTTTTAGCTCCGGCAGCAATCTATTAGCAAACCTGAACTATTTGAGAAATTTTAAGAACCATTTCTGTATACAGTTAAAACTGTCTTAAGCAGCCAGCCAAGGGATGCAGTCATTTTGGCTGCTTAAGACAGGTGGCTGCTGAATGGAGGGTCCAGTTTTTATCCAAATAAATTATTGATTTCTTTGTAAAATAAATCTAATTTAAGTATAAATAAACCAGTCTGATTCATCATCATCAGTTTTTAACCATTTACAAACGTATGCCATCAAATTGACCAAATAAACTCAGTTCTTATGATATCACTGGTTCTATGATATCACGATAATTACATTTTCTGCCACTGCTAGTAAAAGCAACACATATAGATGCTACTATTTATACAACTGTTGCACTAAATTGCATAGCATCTGCAAATAAATTTAATCTTGTGTACAATGAATGCATTTGTAGTAAGAAAACCAATATAACAAGAACCAATTGAACCGGGTGATGCTCCCCGAGAAGGTTTTGGACACAGGAAAGTATAAAAAAATAACAAAGGGCAAAAACTCCAAAATTAGGTAAGGCAGAGTTATGGTTTTTTTTGCACTACACTTCTATACAATGAGCTCTAATTATCTATAAAGTTTCGTGATGATATCTCTTATAGTTTCAGAGTTATGTCCAGGGTAAAATTCAAAGAGTAACAAGGAACATCGCAATGCGATGCAACCAGGTTTTCAGCAAAATATTTCACAGAAGCTTTGTCATGAAGGGGCATTTGTTTTTAATTGAATTTTTAGGAGGAATTATGGCTTTTTTAATATTCCTCAAACAAAAATGATTGAGAAATTTTATTTTGTCTATTCGCCTTTTTCCCCCAAATGTTTTAGAAAGGTAAACAGTACTTTATTTTTGCTTAATTTTTGAAGTTGCGCACTGTAGAAATTGTTCACTATATATTCTGTATAAGGAAAAAATATACAAAGGGCCATAATTCGGTCAAATATTATCCAATCACAAAACCCCGACAATATGTGCCAGGCACTTGATAACAAAGCTTCTAAGAAAGTTTGGTCAAAATCCGTTGAGAAATGTAGGAGGAGTTGCGCACAGAAGAAATTGTTCACTATATATTCTGTATAAGGAAACAAGATTGCATTTGAGAAAAATGCTATGCCACCGCATTAATACAACACTAAATAGTAGTGTAGGAACATATTTTTTTTGTTTCTATACAATTATTGAAGATTGTCAAAATGCATAGATCCCTGACCTATCTAATTCTTATTATCAGATTAGTGATTAAATCTATTGTTAATCAAATAAAAGATCAGAGCAGGAATATATCAATGCACTTGAGTCTAGTGAATTTGGTGGTGAAGGTCATATTTCACACAGCCTAAATTTCATGACTACATCAAAGGACAACACAGTAAGACACTTTGTCAAAATCTAGGTAAGCTGATATCAAAAGTCCACTTTACATCTTAATCTGTGCACATGGTTCAAATTTCATAGCTGTAGATCAAAGCACAAGAAAGTAGGTCACATTATCAAAATCTAGGTCACCTGATATCAAAGTTCAATTTTACAACTAAAACTATGCACATGATCAAAATTTCATTGCTGTACATCAAAGGACAAGAAAGTAGGTCACTGTCCCCTTGGTCAAGGCAAAATTTTGACCCAAGGGTTTAATTCAAAACAATCTTGATACAGGTCCACCAAACAACATTTCAAGTCAAATATCTAAGCTGAAGCTTTCTCCAATTCAGAAAACATTTGTTTATATTTTCTGTTTTTACTATGTGTACATAATGAGAATCATGCCCCCGGGCAGGGCCAGTTTTGACACCAGGGGAAAAATTTGAATAACTTTGGTAGAGGACCTATAGATGATATTATATAGCAAACATGAAAGCTCTATGCCTTGTACCTTCAGACAAAAATGTTTTTTATTTTTTTACTAGATGTCCATAATGTAAATCAATGACCCCCGGGGCAGAACCAATTTTGACCCCAGGGCTAAAATTTGAACAATCGTGGTAGAGGTTCACTTCGCAAAGTCTCATGCCATATATTTAAACTCTAGCCTTTATCAATTCAGAGAAGAAGATTTTTCAAGTTTTTACTTAATACATATAAGGAAATCTAGCGCCTCTGGGGCAGGGCAATTTCAACACTAGGGGCATAATTAAAACAACTTAATAGAGGACCCAAAGATGATATAATATACCAAATATCAAAGCTTTAAGCCTTGTACCTTCAGATAAGAAGATTTTTTAATTTTTTACTCTATGTTCATAGTGAAAATCAATGACCCCTAGGGGTGGGGCCAATTTTGACCCCAGGGCTATAATTTAAACAATCTTGCTAGAGCTTCACTACACAATGTTTCATGCAAAATATCTTACCTCTAGCATTTGTCAATTACTAGAAGATTTTTTTTAAAGTTTTTACTGTAAGTTTTTACTATATACATATAAGGATAACCAATGACCCCCGGGGCGGGGTCGATTTTGACCCCAGGGCTATAATTTGAACAATCTGGGTAGAGGTCTACCAGACAATGCCTTATGCAAAATATCTAAGCTCTAGGCCTTTTGGGTCCTTATAAGAAGATATTTTAAGTTTTAACTATATGTACATATAGTGAAAATCAATGACCCCTGGGGCGGGGCCGATTTTGACCCCCGGGCTATAATTTGAACAATCTTGGTAAGGGTCTACCAGACAATGCCTTATGCAAAATATCTAAGCTCTAGCCTTTATTTTAAGTTTTTACTATATGTACATACAGTGAAAATCAATGACCCCCGGGGCGGGGCCCATTTTGACCCCAGGGCTATAATTTGAACAATCTGGGTAGAGGTTTACCAGACAATGCCTTATGCATAATATCTAAGCTCTAGGCCTTTTGGGTCTTTACAAGAAGGTATTTTTAGTTTTTACTATATGTACATATAGTGGAAATCAATGACCCCTGGGGCGGGGCCGATTTTGACCCCAGGGCTATAATTTGAACAATCTTGGTAGAGGTCTACCAGACAATGCCTTATGCAAAATATCTAAGCTCTAGGCCTTTTGGGTCTTTACAAGAAGATTTTTTAAATTTATTCTTATAATTCCTTTTGGTTGCCATGGCAACCAGATTTCTGCATGGAATGAAATTCTTTGAACAACTTTGGAAGCCCTTCACCTAAGGATCAATCCTGCCAAGTTTGGTTGAAATTGGACTAGTGGTTTTTCACAAGAAGATTTTTTAAGTTCACTATATAATCTATATAACACACACACACACAAACAAACACACACACACACAGGTGAATCGCTATATGCCACCGCATCGCAGATGCTGCGGTGGCATAAAAATATACAAAGGGCCATAATTCGGTCAAATATTATCCAATCACAAAACCCCGACAATATGTGCCAGGCACTTGATAACAAAGCTTCTAAGAAAGTTTGGTCAAAATCCGTTGAGAAATGTAGGAGGAGTTGCGCACAGAAGAAATTGTTCACTATATATTCTATATAAGGAAAAAAAACAAAGGGCCATAATTAGGTCAAATATATACCAATTGCAAAACCCTGGCAATATGTGTCAGGGCACTTGATGACAAAGCTTCTGAGAAAGTTTGGTCAAAATCTGTTGAGAAATGTAGGAGGAGTTGCGCACAGAAGAAATTGTTCACTATATATTCTATATAAGGAAAAAAAACAAAGGGCCATAATTAGGTCAAATATACACCAATTGCAAAACCCTGGCGATATGTGTCAGGGCACTTGATGACAAAGCTTCTGTGAAAGTTTGGTCAAAATCTGTTGAGAAATGTAGGAGGAGTTGCGCACAGAAGAAATTGTTCACTATATATTTTATATAAGGAAAAAAAACAAAGGGTCATAATTAGGTCAAATATTATCTAATCGCAAAACCCCGACAATATGCGCCAGGGCACTTGATGACAAAGCTTCTGTGAAAGTTTGGTCAAAATCCGTTGAGAAATGTAGGAGGAGTTGCGCACAGAAGAAATTGTTTACGCCCGCCCGCCCGTCCGCCCGTCCGCCCGCCCGCCGACATACCTCAATCTAATAACCAGTTTTTTCCTTCGGAAAACCTGGTTAAAAATGAACAAAGGGCAATAACTCCAAAATTAGACAAGGCTGTGTTTAGGTTCTTTAGCATTGCAGTTCTATCCAATGAGATCTATCTACCTACAAAGTTTCATGTTGATATCTCTAATGGTTTTAGAGTTATGTTCCGGACAAAAGTCATAAAGTAAAAATAAGCAAAGGGCAATAACTTCAAAATAAGGCAAGGCAGAGTTATGGTTCTTAAGCACTGCACTTCTACCCAATGCAACCTATCTACCTACAAAGTTTCATGTTGATATCTGTTATAATTTTAGAGTAAAGTCCCGGACAAAGTTCAGTGTCAAAATGAACATAGGGCAATAACTCCATAATTAGGCAAGACAGAGTTATGGTTCTTTAACAATGCACTTCTACTCAATGAGATCTATCTACCTACAAATTTTCATGTTGATATCTCTTAAACTTTTAGAGTTATGTCCAGGACAAGTTCAAAGTGTAAAAAATAAACAAAGGCCAATAATTCAAAAATTAGGCATGCAGAGTTACTGTTCTTGTGCACTTCAAACCTATTCAATGAGATCTATCTATCTGCAAAGTTTCATGTTGATACCTCTTATAGTTTTAGAGTTATGTCCCAGACAAAGTTCAAAGTGTAAAAATATACAAAGGGCAATAATTATAAAATTAGGCAAGGCAGAGTTACGGTTCTTGTGCACTGCATGCCTACTCAATTAGATCTGTCTACCTACAAAGTTTCATGTTGATACCTCTTGAAGTTTCAAAGTTTTGTCCCAGACAAGAAAAGCGTTCGTACAAAGCCAGAGGTACATGTGTGACTTTGAGAACAATAGGTAACAGTAAATTCTCTTTGATCTTGTTCATAATGTTTAACTTATGTGTCTTTTTTAAGTCTTGTGTGACTAAAAATGGCTAGCAAGAGGGCCAAGATGGCCTTAGATCGCTCACCTGACCCATCGAACTCATCCAAACAATTACCTAAACAAGCATTCTGACCACGTTTCATGACAGGCGAGTCAAAAATGTGACCACTAGAGTGTTAACAAGGATTACCCATATTTGAGCAGTGTGACCTAGATTTTGACCCCAGGTGACCCATATTCAAACTTTTGTACACTTTTTGCACTTCCTCATGCTAATCTCTATCACTGTGTACAGTTTGAGTCAAATTGCTTCAATATTTCTCAAGTTATTCTTTGAACAAGCATTTTTAAATATTATGAAGGGAGATAATTCAAAAACTAAGTAAATGTAAAGTTATGGTTCTTGATATTGCACTTCCTATTTCAGGTCTTTACAACTGTATTTAGTTCAAATAGATATCATTGATAGTTTGGAAATAAAACTCAAGACAAGCAGTTTTAACTTAAGGGAGGTAATATAAAAAATAAAGTAAGGTAGAATAAAGATTCTTGGACATTGCACTTCCTCCCAATGCTACTATCACTGTGTGAAGTTTAAATAGAATTGCTACTCTTTAATAGGATATCTTTTGTACAACAAAGTACCAACTAAATGTCATATCTTGTCATAAAGTAACAGTAATTGTTTAAAATTTATGAGTTCTTTTTGTATGGCTGGTTAAACGTTTAACAAGGTTATTAGGTTTCCATTTAAACGGTTAGCATTTTTTCTAACCTTCACACCCCTACCCTACAGAAATGTTACAGAAGTGCACATAAGTGTACAAAAGGCATTATAAGTTTTATGTTCATATGCGTATTATATGATGCCAAAATATTGAACATTTGAGTGTTTTCTTAATACTGATATACAGAAATATATTTATATCATAATTGATTATTTTTTCATAGTTTTGTCTTTTTTTCTACTACAGACAATCTTTAATTAGACAAGCAATGTTAAAATTGTTGCTCTTGTCAAAAAGGGCAAATATGAATATGTGATGGACCTCACCAGAAAACTATTTACATGCATGTCATAGAACAATTGATTCAACCTGTTTACTTAAATTTTCAACTTGCAAAACCCATCATTCCCTGAAATGGTTATTTTAAGCTTGTGACGCACCTACATCAAGTACATCCCAAATGCAGTGCTCTGAAATTCTCGCTCATTCAAATAAGATCATGAGTCACTTTCCTTACTTTTAGGGAACTCAGTGAACTACCTTTGTAATACTCCCAGAAAATTGAAACAAATGTTAAGACACATTGACCATGTATATTTTTGAGAATTATATCCAGCTGTACCTGTTATTTTTCAGTCATTGAAGCAAAATTTCTATATAAATGGCGATAATTCTATGTGTATTATTTACAGGCTTGACTTTTCAGTTTTATCACTTTAATTCAGAATGTGACACAGACATAAATGCCCAGTGAGCAGGATAGCTCTCCCTTTTACATAAATAAATAATAATCAAGTTAACAACTTACTTGGTGTTGGTGTTCCACTCTCTTTCAGTCTTGCTGCTAAAGCCTCCCGAGAGGAAACAAAGAATACTCTCTCAAGTCCCTCTTTATGGTCCATCAAGGATAATTCCTCACACAAAAACTCTAGGTTACGATCTAAATGTTGCTGTTTTACTTCATCAACATCATCTTCAAATGCAGATATATCCCAGCGATTTTGCAGAATAAATAAATTTGGCTTCGACAATTTTGCACTGACTTTGTGAAAAAAATTCTTTTCCTGTTTAATATAAAACGAAACATGTTGTTGGAAACAAACAAAGGGCCCCAAGCAGGGCTCAATGAATGAACAATGTCCTTATTATTTGTTTCTTAACAATAATCAATAGGAAAACATTTTTTATAACAATGGTACTATAGATTAAGGAATACAGACTGGTTACAACACAGAAGGCAAACAGTCAGACAGATCAGAGACAGCCAGGCAGGATAACAGACAGAAAGAAAACAGACAGTCATGCAGAAGGAAAAAGGACAGAAGGAAAACAGACAAAAGGACAGAAGAAAATTAGACAAAAGAAAATCAGACAGAAAGAAAACAGACAGAAGGATAAAAGAAAGATGGCAGACAGCAAGACAGAAGGACAGCAGTCAGAAATAGGGTGTAAGATATGATCACTACTATAAATCTACTCACCGTCTGCATCAAAGTAGATTCAGCATTAGAGACAAGAACAAAAACATCAGCATCAAGACAGAACTTGTCAATCCAAAGATCTAAATCTGGAGTTACATCAATCCCAGGGCTGTAAGAAAAGAACAAAAGCAAGAGCTGTCAGTAAAACAGTGTACTTGGCTATTCTCAGTGCTTGATAGTAAATAATGAAGGAATAACAAACAAAAACAAGAATGTGTTTTGTTCAACACAAATGCACAAGGCTCAGATTCTTGTCAGTAACTATATTTCAACAAGAGCACCGCTAGGCGGAGCATTATATGCCCGAAAGTGTTTTTTTTTATAGTAAGGATGAAGCATTTGTAAGACATAGGAATTCGCTGTTCATCCTATAAAATTTTACAGCTGTAGGTTGATTAATACTTAAGTTATTAATAATGACCTTAACCTTTGACCATGTGACCCCAAAATCAATAGGGGTCTTCTACCTTATATGGACAATCATCCTAAGAAGTTTGAATATTGTGGGCCAATTGGAACTTTAATTATGCTCTAGAAACTGTTTTCAGTATTATGGTAAAAGTGACTTTGACCTTGTGACCCCAAAATCAATAGGGGTCTTCTACCCAATATGGACAATCATTCTATGAAGTTTGAATATTGTGGGCCAAATGGAACTTACCTTATGCTTAGGAAACTGTTTTTGGTTTTAAGGTAATTGTAACCTTGACCTTTGACCTAGTGACCCCAAAATCAATAGGGGTCTTTTGCCCAATATGGACAATCATCCTATGAAGTTTGAATATTGTGGGCCAAATGGAACTTAAGTTATGCTCCAGAAACTGTTTTCAGTTTTAAGGATATAGTGACCTTGACCCTTGACCTTTTGACCCCAAAATCAATAGGGGTCTTCTACCCAATATGGACAATCATCCTATGAAGTTTAAACACTGTGGGCCAAATGGAACTTAAGTTATGCTCCGGAAACTGTTTCCAGTATCAAGGTAATAGTGACCTTGACCTTTGACCTTGTGACCCCAAAATCAATAGGGGTGTTCTACCCAATATGGACAATCATCCTATGAAGTTTGAACATTGTGGGTCAATTGTAACTTCAGTTATGCTCCGGAAACTGTTTTCAGTTTTAAGGTCATAGTGACTTTGACCTTTTGACCCCAAAATCAATAGGGGTCTTCTACCAAATATGGACAATCATCCTATGAAGTTTGAACATTGTGGGTCAATTGGAACTTAAGTTATGCTCCGGAAACTGTTTTCAGTATCAAGGAAATAGTAACTTTGACTTTGACATTGTGACCCCAAAATCAATACGGGTCTTTTACCCAATATGGACAATCATCCTATGAAGTTTGAACATTGTGGGTCGAATGGAACTTAAGTTATGCTCCAGAAACTGTTTTCAGTTTTAAGGTCATAGTGGCCTTGACCTTTGACCTTTTGACCCCAAAATCAATAGGGGTCTTCTACCTAATATGGACAATCATCCTATGAAGTTTGAACATTGTGGGTCAATTGGAACTTAAGTTATGCTCCGGAAACTGTTTTCAGTTTTAAGGTCATAGTGACCTTGACCTTTGACCTTTTGACCCCAAAATCAATAGGGGTCTTCTACCCAATATGGGCAATCATCCTATGAAGTTTGAACATTGTGGGCCAAATGGAACTTAAGTTATGCTCCGGAAACCAAATTGTTAACCGACGGACGTACGGACGGACAGACAGACGGACGCCAGGGGGTATAACATAATATGCCCTTTCGGGCATATAAAAAATGTTTACCCATTCACTCAGTTATGGAAAAAAAAAATAAAATAATTGTAAACACAGTTAATAACTTGATAGAGTCATGGCATTTTGTAAGTGTGAAAAATATAAGTTGGCAAGTCATTGCTATGACTTATGATAAGTTGAAAAATATTCAACTTTATCAAATATATATGAAAGCAAGACTTTACGTTGAACCCAGTTAACTCAATCCAAAGAATGCAAGTTATCATTCTTTCAAATATGAAAAACATCAGTCAAAAATAAAGGCTGTTTAAGCAAATGTGTAGAAATCTATTATTGGCACCCTTGACCACTAACATCTAACTCAACCAAAACGAAGAATACCATGCAAGTTATCTTCCTACCAAATATGAAAGACAACTGTCCATAGATAAAGGCTATTTTTAGCAATAATGACCTTGACCAAACTGACCCCTAACTCTATCCAAAGAAAGAAGACCAAGTTATCTTGCTACCAGATATAAAATGCATTTGTTAATAAATAAAGGCTATAAGGGCTAAAGTGTAAAAAAATTCTATTTTTAGCACCAGTGACCTTGACACACTGACCCTTACCTCAATCAGAAGGAAGAATACCATGCAAGTTATTTTCCTATCAAATATAAAAGACATCTGTCCATAAATAACATTGCATGAACAAATGTGAAAAAGTCAAGGGCCATAACCCTACAAATACTAAAAACATCCACACGAAAATACCAGGGTGCACAACTACACATGCTGAGCAACATTCCTGTAAAGTTTCATGACTCTAGGTCAAACACTTTTTAAGCTTAGTGCGACACAAGTTGAATTGCAAATTTTTACTAAGTCAAGGGCAATAACATCCACAAGAAAATACTCAGGAGCACAACTTCACATACTGAGGAACATTCCTGTAAAGTTTCATGACTCTAGGTCAAATACTTTTTAAGCTACGTGCGACACAAAATGAGAACAGACGGACCAGGATAAATCTGAATGCCCCCCCCCCCATAGTGGGGGGCACAAAAAGTCAAAATATATTTTTGACCTTGACCCAAATGACCCCTAACTAAACCCAAAGGAAGAGGACCACTGTTAGCAGTTTGTATTAAACATGAATGACATCAACTAAAAAATAGGCTGTATGAACAAAATGTTTAAATTTGTTTTTTTACACCAGTGAGCTTGGCCCTAGAGACCCCTTACTCAATGAAAAATAAGAGGACCATTTAAGGTATCCACCAACCCAATATGAAAGATATCATTAAATAAATGAAGTAATTAGGAGAAATTAAGATACATCCAACTTGCCAGAAAAGGTTAACCATACAAGGCCCTATTTTTAAAGTGATATATAACTTGACAATATCATGTACTTTGTATTGATAAGTAAGGGTGGAAATTATGAAGCCATTAGTATAGATAGAACTTAAGATATATCCAACTTGCCATTTTATGTTAACCAAATATTCATTTTCTAAGTGATGAAAAGGGCAATAACTTGGTAAAAATGAAAGCCATAGTACAGATTATGTACTTTGTGTTGTTTAGTTAATGTGTAAAGTATGAAGCCATTGGTATAGGTAGAACTTGAGAAAAATCCAACTTGCCATTTTAGGTTAACCTTGTATGGACAAACGGACAGACAGACGGACGGTTCAATTACTATATGCCTGGGGCATAAAAATTTGATAGCCATTGCCTTTTACATGCCTATTGTAAGAGAATAGAATAAACATATGTTTAACTATATTGAGGGGTAAAGTTATTTCCCTGACATCATTTGGTTATTTCAAGTGATGTGTCAAATGTTATATGATGTATTATCATTGTTTTATACCATGAACATATTGGGTGATAATGCACACAACAACACTGTCTCTTTAATAGATGAAGGGTAAGAAGCATATTAGAATGTAAGATATGTTTTTTAATGTCAACAAAACAGATGCAATTAATATAATGTGTATTACTGTTATTTACACTTCGAATCAGACTAAAGGGAAATACTGAATGTTGGGCAGACTGAAACAAGGTCAGGTAAGACAGTTATCAACTTCAGGGGGTTGCTCTGGCAGATCAGAGTGTATGTTGTATTCTGATCATAAAGAGTATCAATTGGATTTATTTCTAAAAATTCTACAACACTCATGAATATTCTTGTTCATATTATACATTAAATCAAGAATATATATATACCTGTCTACTAGTACAACATCCTCCCTCAGCAATCGACATTTGTTTTTTGGCCATAATATTCTGATCAATGAATTTTCCTTCAATTTGACATTGCTCAGAGCACTGGCCAACTGTTTGATTGACTGAAATTTTGACAAACATGAAAACATTAATACTATCATTCAATAAATGCACCATTTGTGGATAAACACTTACCTTTATTTCAAGATTACACAAAAATTAATTTGATGCAGAAATCATTGTCATTGTCATAGCTGAGTTTTATAAAGTTTCATGTTGATACAGTATGTTGTATTGATGATGGTCTGGCGAAAAATAAAAGATTAACAAGAATCTGCACATCTGTCAATGTATTCAATGCATATAAGTCAATCAAGGCTGTAAGAGCAATTTTTGCACCAGTGACTCAATACTTCACCCAAAGTTGGGGAACAACCCAAGGTGGGGGCATTCATTGCCAAGAGGTTAAGGTCACTGACTTCAAACCACTATCCTGTCATCACTGTGGGTTTGAATCCAGACAGGGACTTGGGATTCTTTCATGTGAGGAAGCTATCCAGCTATATAACGGATCATCAGTGGTCTTAAGGTCTTCTTCCACCAATAAAAACAAGAGGGCCATTATGGCCCTGAAATCGCTCACCTGTATATAGGCCCTTGGGGCGGGGCTAATTTAACCCAGGGGCTTTTTCTAACCAACTTGGTAGACACCCATTTGAAGATGTTTCATGATAAATATCTCAGCTCTAGCTCTTTGGGGTTTTTAAAAGAAGATTTTTAATGTTTTTACTATAGACATAAAGGAAACTCAGACCCCCCGGGGCGGGACAAATTTAACCCTGGGGCTTTTATTTGAACAAATTTGGTAGACAAAGAAGATGTTTCATGAAAAATTTCTAAGCTCTAGCTCTATGGGTTATTTAAAAGAAGATTTTTTAAGTTTTTGCTGTAGACATATAAGGAAAATCAGTACCCCCAGGGCGGGGTCAATTTTGATCCCAGGGTTTTTATTTTAATAAACATGGTAGACACTCACCAGAATATGTTTCATGCTTAATATCTTAGCCCTAACTCTTTGGGGTTTTTAAAAGAAGATCTTTTAATTTTTTACTATATACATATAAGGAAAATCAATGACCCCCTGGGGTGGGCTAATTTTGACCCCAGGGCTCTTATTTGAACAAACTTGATAGACATTCACTAGAATATGTTTCATGCCAAATATTTAAGCTCTAGCTCTTTCGGTTTTTCAAAAAAAAGATATTTAAAGTTTTTACTATATACCGGTACATATCAGGAAAATCAATGACCCCCAGGGCGGGGCCAATTTTGACCCCAGGGATTTTATTTGAACAAACTTGGTAGACACTCATCAGACAATGTTTCATGCCAAATATTTTAGCTCTAGCTCTTTCACTTTTTGAAAAGAAGATTTTTAAGTTTTTACTATATACAAATAAGGAAAAGCAATGACCCTCGGGCGGGGCTAATTTTGACCCCTGGGATTTTATTTGAACAAACTTGGTAGACACTTATCAGACAATGTTTCATGCCAAATATTTTAGCTCTAGCTTTTTTGGTTTTTTTAAAGAAGATTTGTTAAGTTTTTACTATATACAAATAAGGAAAAGCAATGACCCCCTGGGGCGGGGCCAATTTTGACCCGAGGGCTTTTATTTGAACAAACTTGATAGACACTCACAAGAATATATATAGTATAACTTCTCGCGTGTTAACCCCTCACCCACAGACTTTATTGAAAAAAAATTTAAAGTACCTCCCTTTATTTTCATGAAATGTAAGTTTGGTAATATCTTTACAAATAATGCTTTTTGGAACTTTAAATCTTCATTTGAGCATCATATTTATGATATAAAACCATAAAAAATTTGAGTTACAGGATCTTTAAACAGACATCCCTGAAGCAATATAGAAGTTATAGAAAAAATAAGGAAAATTTACAGAAAGATAATTCAGAAAATATTGATGCTAGAGTTATGAACCATGTCATATATTTATTAAATGGGAGTTGATATTAAATTTAAATTTATAGCAAATCCTTTGAAAAATAAAGAAGTTAAAGCAAAATTAACAATTTCTTATAAATTTATAAAAAAAAAATCCAAGTTCAAGGGGAGAATAATTCTGAAAATATTCATGCTAAAATTATGAATATTGTCACACATGATAAAGAAAGCAAAAAATATTTCACTGCACCAAAACTTTAATCTGAAATCTGGATGTGTAAATGGACATTGATGCCGGGTGAGTAGGACAGCTCTCCATATACATTTGTACTTTGTATAGTCAAGCTAAAAATGGTCTCTTGGAATTAAAATTGTGGAATTCTGCAAATCTGTGGATAATTGGCAGCACTGTTGAAGTGAATAGCTTTGATAATTCCAGAGAAAATAGTCCAAATCAGCATCTAACAACCACATCAACAAGAGGCTCCATTTTTTTTTCTTCAAAAGGTAGTGATTTAAACAAGATTAAACATACCTGTACACTTTTTGGTTTATCTGGCTCTTCCTCAGTAAGGAGGTAACCCTCATGAGAATCTGAACCCTCCACTTGCAGGAAACAGTTAGTTGTATGTCCTATTCCTGTTGGCAATATTTTTTCACGCAGCATAGCATTTATTGTTGTACTTTTCCCATTTGATGTTCTATAAAATGATAAAATTGTTGGATATCACCATAATGCCAATTTTAGTTAACTCCTGTTAATTTGAAAAGTAATCACTAAGGTGATAACACATTCATATTTCAGCAGTTAAAGATTTATGCTATCAACAAACAGTATATGTTTCACTTTGTATCTAAAGGTGTCCATATCAATAGGAGGGTGAGCAAGGTCATTTATGAGTGAAGGTCAAGGTCTGTCTGTTTAATTTGAAGGTCTATCCTAAAATATTGTTGCGTTCAAGTTTGAAGACAATCCATTCAAAAATAATAAAGTTATAGCACTAATAGCAAAATCAGCAAAAATCAAGAAAAATTTAGACATTAGACCTTGAAGGTCAAGGTCATTTATAAATAACGGTCAAGGTTAGTCTGGTCTTCTTGAAGGGTTTGTCCCAAGGATTTATGTGGCCTGTTATGTATACAACATATTACATGTATATAATTTATATCTGACCAGTTGGTATTTCCAATATTATCATTGTTCTATTTTAAGAACATAAACTACATGTATGTACTAGAACTTTCTTAACTGTTGTAGAAAACTCATGCATTATATTTAGATAGAAATTTCCGAAATGATCTTTATTGTTGAAGTTGCTAGATTATGATTTCTGTAGAAAATGGAAGTCTATTCTAGAAACTTCTTAGCTTAATATATATAGGAGAAATTTTTCTTTCGTATGACCTTTTAAGTCATCAGTGATCTTTTAAGTCATCAGTTACCTTTTTAGTCATCAATATATTTAGAGTATTTTTCAACTTGGATATTAAGTGATTTATTGGAGCTTGGATTATTTTAAAATAGTTAAAATTATTCTTGTGGATTTTATTGTGGGAATTTATTCTAAAGTGTTCTTGGATTTTACTTGGATTTAAGTGTGCTATTCAAAAAAGGATCATTCCAGGGTCAGACTAGACATTTAAGATTTCATTTTTATTTGGATTTCAGGTATTTGTAAACGTAATTTGTTATTTTATTTTTCTTTGATAATTTTTCTGTAATAAATTTGTTATTGTTACAAGTTTGTTGCTGGCTTTTCTTTCTCGTTACGCCTGGCTCGTAACAGGCCAAGTATGAAGACAATACACTACAAACTTAAAAGGTTATGATCAATGTTAAAGTTTGGGTGATGGCAACCAGAACCCCGACATGACTGTAACAACCTCTATTTTTTCCTTCGAAGAAAAGTCAAGCTACTAAAACCAGACATACCTTCCAAAGAAGACAACTTTCATATGATCCCTGGATAACACCTCCATTATACTGCAGACCCTTTCTCTACACTGTTTTACATGTTCCTGGCACTGCACACCTTCCAAATACCTAGATGTTTCTATACCTGTAATACAAATAATGGAATATTGTTGACTTGAATACTAATACAACATTAAAACAAGACCTGTCTGTGGACAGAGAGCTCCACTTTTCTTTGCTGGATAGTAAACATAGAAAAGGGGACATAGCTCTGCAGACAGGCTAATCAGACTTACTTGTCCTTGACAATCAACAAATATTTCAAGTTTGAAGTAAAAACCATCAACAGTTTTTGAGAAAAAGGCAAAAAGTCTGAGTAAAACAAGGAAAATAATAAAACAAAAAGGCTTTAAGGATTATCTCTCTCCTACAAATGCATTTAAAATTTTATAGTAAAAAATAAATCTTTAGTTTAAAGAAAAGTTTGATACTTTTGAAATATGTACCTTAACAAAAAAGTTAACCAAGATATTCAGTCAGAAGGGAGCATAACTAAAAAAAAGTTATTTGCCCTTTACATTCCAATTAAAAAACTGAAAAAGTATTCCAAGTCCCATAATTTTGGAGAAATTGACCTAAGAAGGAAAACAATAATGCATAAAGTATTTGTAAAAACCACATTAATACATTAATAAATAGTAGGTACAGAAATATATTTGTTTTGTTTCTATACAATCAAACTTTGCCATAATGCAGTAGTGTCTAGTTAATTTTGAGTCAAGGTCATAATTATTTGAAAGACAAAGTGCAGATGTGTCTAATGTTCAAATACAAAGGCCATAATAACAAGATATGTTTGTAAAACATGTATGCCCCCTATCGGCAGCCAATTTGTCATGATTGTGATCAGGTTATTATGCATGACTTCTGACCCAGTGAACAAGCAATTAATAAGGGTTATCTAGTATCTACTGGTCATGACTAGTCACAAGGTAATAATTATTGTGACCCCATAGGTTGTGTGCAGCAATTTAAGTTATTAAAAATCTTACCAAATAATATATACATAAATTTTATGAATCACATAGGCCTCATTAATGACAGCCAAGTTGTAATATTACATAAGACCTTCAAATGTGTATACCAAAAGCACATAAAAATATCAACCAAGGCAACTTGAGTTGTTGAGTTATTGGTTAGAAACGGTCATTAAGTACAAGGTCACTATGACATTGACCCCTTGACCCCAAAATCAATAGGGGTCATCTACTGGTCATGACCAATCATCATACCAAGTTTGAAGTTCCTACGCCTAAGGGTTCTTTAGTTATTGACCGGAAACTGTTTTTACCTAAAAGGTAAATGTGACCCTTGACCTTTGACCCCTTGACCCCAAAATCAATAGGGGTCATCTGCTGGTCATGACCAATCATCATACCAAGTTTGAAGTACCTAGGCCTAAGCCTTTTTTGTTATTGATCTGAAACTGTTTTTACCTAAAAGGTCAATGTGACCTTGACCTTTGACCCCAAAATCAATAGGGGTCATATGCTGGTCATGACCAATCACCATACCAAGTTTGAAGTTCCTAGGCCTAAGCGTTCTTTAGTTATTGATCGGAAACCGTTTTTACCTACAAGGTCAATGTGACCTTGACCTTTGACCCCTTGACCCCAAAATCAATAGGGGTCATCTGCTGGTCATGCCCAATCACCATACCGAGTTTGAAGTTCCTAGGCCTAAGCGTTCTTTAGTTATTGATCGAAAAACCGTTTTAACATACAAGGTCAATGTGACCTTGACCTTTGACCCCTTGACCCCAAAATCAATAGGGGTCATCTACTGGTCATGACCAATCACCATACCAAGTTTGAAGTTCCTAGGCCTAAGGGTTCTTTAGTTATCACTCGGAAACCATTTGGTCTACGGACCGACGGACCGACAAGTGCAAAGCAATATACCCCCTCTTCTTCGAAGTGGGGGCATAATTATTGATTTAAAAATAAAAGTATTCTAGGTACTGTATTTACTGTATTATACAGCTGTAATACAGTTACTGTTATATTTCTTTAATATTATATTTTCAATTAAGCATTACTTATTTCTGAAAACATAAACAAGAGGACCATGATAGCCCATATATTGCTCACCTGAATATAAATACTCAATGACAATAACAAATAATATTGTTAACTACAAACAAAAGCAAATATAAAATATAAATCTTATGATATCACAAAGTTCATATTTGTAACAGAAATAGTGCATGTGTAAAAACATTACTGGTTGCTATTCCTAAGGGAAAACAATACTGCAAAATCATTATTATTTGTGGAGCACTAATTTTCATGTGTTGGTCAATCAACAAATTTAGGATCCAACCAAATTTTATCCAAATAATTATGTCTTACAATGTCCTATTTCTGATCTTGAGTCTATATACACGTATTACAAACATGCATCAGCGTATTTTCAGCTGATTATTGTGTTATGAAGGTATACGGATAATCAGGTAAGAAACAATTTAAATCAATAAATAGTTCTTACATTTACAATATTTAAAAAACTTGATACTTCAATTTGTAAGTGTGTAACGGTAAGATATATCGTAACCGTTTTCCACATAGTATTATTCACAATATGACAAAACACCCTTATTGTACGGCATGGTTCGTCTTTTTAAACAATTTTCAAGGCAAGTAATTATTTCAGTAAAAACTGCAGAAGATGAAAATAAATCTGCTTTAGTTAGTTTTAAGTCCAAAATATGGAAGCATTTCTGATTTCAGGTGGAAAAAAGGCTGGAATAAGTTTTCTTTTATGTGCTGGTTTTGTTTTTCTGACATCTTGTTCTTTTTTAGGGGTTAAGTAAGAACTCAGCATTGGCTGAAATGGCCTTTTTGGAAACTATTTTTTGGCCAGTTGAAATTTGTGAAAAAATACTAGATCTAAACTGGACACTTTTGCAAATAAAACTAAATTAAAAATAAATATTGTGTAGAGTTAAGGCTGCCGCTATTTTTGATATTTTCAACACTGCTCCACACTGTCTACAGAAATTTAATTGTTGGTAGATAAATAGGACCATTTTTTATTATGTGTGATAATTGAATAAAGTAAGGTAATTTTTTTTGGCCAGCTTATAATATTGATCATGACTTGTGTTCAGCAAACTGTGTCAATGATAACTAAATAACTAATGACATTTACCATTATCAATGATTTATGTATCCAAATAGTTATCACCTTACATAATATTATGACCTTTTTATTAAACATGTGATGTTACTTGTCCATGCATATTTAATGGTAACTTTTCATTCTAGATATTTTTTCACAGTATTAGAAAATCATAATGCTATAATCAAAATGTCCATAAAAAACTAAAAACATTGGTCAGGTCATTGACTATATAAGACCATACTGCATTATTTAATGAAAAGGACTGACATTTGATTAATACTTGGTAGTTAATATTGTGGAAATGATGGTACTATTGTTGTTTCAACTTTAAATTAACTTTAATTATTACAAACTATTACTTTGTGAAGTTATAAAGTTATGAAGTTATAATAATTGTCATAGACAATTTCCCTTAGACAAAATATATTGTGATATGTATTGTATCATGGACCCTGTACTTCGATAGGTTTTGTATTGTGAGGTGAGCATATCATTACACCTTATCTGAATTCGCTCTCACAAATGTTGGAAAACAATGTTGCATCCACATATAGACATAACAGGGACTACTTGTGTGCTACTTTGTTTTTTTTAGCCAGAACACTTAACTTAATCAAGTAAATATGAGGATGAAAATATATTGGCGTTCTTTTTAATCAAACAAATATACATGTAGTTGTAAAAATCTCTGTCATTTCTTTATCCTATTAAAGAAAAACTTGTATCTTGATAGAGATGAAATGGTAGAGGTACCATGTATCAGTAACTAATTACTTGTGCCGTTCTGTATACATGTATATCAGATAAACACCTTTATTTACAAATAAAACTAGAAACAACACATAACAAGTTTCAAACTTTAATATTTCCCTATGAATTATCATGTAAGTATTCAGTATTACTATCACATAATAATCATACAGTTAAACATTTAACATATAAACCAATAATCAGAACATTGCACATGAGTCACAACTATGTACTTTAATTTCAAATATCTGGACATTAAGAAGCACGTTTGTTTTCATTATTGCTTTGTTTCACAGTCCAACATTTCTAAAATTTTAATATTTCAATATGAATTATCATTTAAATAAGTGAAAATACATGATGTATACACATATAAACTGATCATCAAAACATTAAATGTGAGTCATAACTGTTTGTACTTTTGTTTTCTTAATTGGTTTGTTAAATTCACAGTCCAACCTTTCTAAAACCCGCCTTTATAAGATCTGGACACAACGTCATCTTATTGTGTGTTGATAGGCACAATTTTGAGTGTCACCATCCAAAGATCAACATTCACAACTGCCATTGGATAGCACATGTTAGAAGTTCAATCAAATGAGGACTCTGGTATGCTTTAAATACCTCAAACAGAGCGATTGCATACTGGTCACATTAAGAAATGGTAATGTATCCTGGATGTTGTTTACATATAGCATGATCACTTTTTCTACATAACATGGCATAATGTCTTCCTTACTCCAGTGCGATTCTGTGAACCTAATATCCCAGTCATTTGAAAATCGAACATCTTTAGGGGGACATCAGCAGACCTGCCAGCGTAATTCACTTGACGCGGTAAAAATGTACCATCTTTAGGAGCAGCAATAAAGACAGTGATCTGGCGCTTGTTTTCAAGACCAGCTACGGTGACCTGGGTAGAGCCATGTCCCTCCATTGTCCATTCACACACAGGAACTATCTGGCATTCTGTCCGGTCCCAGTTGATAAAAAGAGAATCTGGCACTTTGTGTTCTCTCACAATCTTGTTGACCTCACCCATGAATTCCTCCTAAATTAGCCTTAAAATCATTAGTTGAAGATTGGTAGCCCTGTTTCCCTTCCTTTTCACATTACCCATGCCTCTAATATCCAGCCTGAGAATTTTTCCTCATGATTCCCTTTGCTGCTACACAGGTCTGACATTTACAACACCATCCTTTAACCAAACCAGCCTGATGTACCTCTGTACTGCTTCGTCATGCTCGCTCAAAGTGGTTGGTGCCCCCAGTGGAGATTTTGCAAGAGTTGGTGAATCAGCCCCTATCTTTTTCTTTAATTTAACATACAGATCACGCATGCTACATTTCTCTGACCTTCCGACCCAGTTTAGTGGTAAAGCCCGTTATCAATGGCATACAGTGCAATCTTTGCCCGTGTTTCCTCAGAATAATTACCATATTCACCACATGTTCTCTTCCTAGATTCAAGTAGAATGATTTCTATGGCGTCATTGGCAGTCTGAAGTTTAGAACCAAAATAATTTTGATTATGAATGCAATTTGATGATGAATGCGCAATATATTAAAAATAATATTAAATTAAAACAGAAGAAAATATATAAATAATCAATATTCAGATTAAAATTAAATTGTTTATACACGATTTAAGCATGGACTGATATTTATATCACAGAAAACAAATATATTTGAATATTTTGATTGAAAAATACAAAATTTATTTTCTTTTCACAAGCTGTTTTGTAAACTAATAACTGACAACAATGTTCATCAAATGTACTTTTAATTATTTCTTTTCGTAAGTCTATAATTCAGACAATTATCAACATCATTTTTTAACAATTAAAAAAACACACACAAAAACGAGGTGTTTTAAATTTTATGTTCTTTGTAAATAATCAGTATATTATAAGCATTTTTATTATAAATATTTTGTAATGAATGCAAAATTAATATTATAGTATCTTGATTCTACAAAGTAGGGAAGAAATTGTGAAAATATTCAGAACATGCTTACTGTTTGTTTAAAATTTGTCATGAGTAAAACATGTAAAATCAGCCCTTAACATTCAACACCAAGTTAATTACTAAGTATAGAATTTTTCAACATGACAAAACAATGGTGCATTTTGTGTAATTAATTTAATTTAAATGAGTAAATACCTGAATAGCAATAGCGTCTGAAGCTGTTAAAGCTTCAACAGGCTCTGGAAGTCCTGCAACACTCAGAGAATGTGTTTGAACCATGCCCGGTGCTTAACCATTGTGTAAGTGTTATGTTTTAGTAACAGTAACTTACATGTAATATCAATAATTTAAACAATCTGTTTGTTTTGAATACTTTGAAGAAAGTAATTTATGAAAAAATTATGTGTTTTTATATTAACAACAAGCAATTATCATAGTATTGCAAGCAATCCATAAGTCCCCTACCGGTTAGAACCCCAGCAACATTCTGATGGGCCATTGGCCATTCAATTTTACCAGTGAATGAATGACATGAATGAACTTAAATCTTTTGAGTTCTAAGTTTGTTTATATCACAGTAATGTGTTAAGTTTCCCTGCCTAGTAAGGAAATTATGTTTATACAACCTTGTCATATTATTACGATGTGGGATTTTAAAGTAAATCCTATAAGGAATGAAGAAGTTGGAGTGAAAAATACCAATTTCTCAAAAAAAAATCTAAGTTCAAGGGGGACAAATTCTGGAAATAGTCTTGCTAGAGTATTTAACCTTCTCAAAAATGTTGAGTGATAATAAGAAACATATATATGAAGTTGGAAGTAGATACATTAGGAAATAAAGAAGTTATTTAAAAAAGACAACATTTTTTTTCATAGTTCAAGGGAGGTAATACTGATAATTTTTGTGCTAGAATTGTAAACCTTGTCACATATGATGTGGTTGATGACCAGAAACTTATATTTAAAGTTTGAAGTAAACACCTTAAGAAATAAAGAACTTAAAGTGAAAATCCTGAAAAATTTAAATCAGAAATCTTGAAATTCAGACTATTTGTTGCCATAGCAACCAGAATTTTCAACATAGGAAGAAAAGAAAAAGATGTGCATAATCTCCAGACTGCCATCTACCCATATTTCAAGTTTCATAAAAATATTTTCAGTACTTTTTGCGTTAATGCGGGATCCAGTTTTGTGGACGGACGGACTGACGGACGGAAGTTCTCACAGGACAGTAATTATGCGGCTACTCTATTGTTCTCTCTATTGTTCTTTTTAGCCACGCAAAAGAAAATAGCCACATAAAAGCATTACGGAATGAATGACATCAAAGAGAAAGAACAGTTACCTATTGTCCCTCTAGCCACATAATTACTCTCCTGTGAGTGCGGACGGACAGACAGACAGACGGAGGGTAAACCTAAAGTCCCCTCCGGTTAAACCAGTAGGGGACTAATTATAAGGGACCCTGTGCATTAATTGGCGCCGATAAAAGTTCTCAGTTTGCTCTAATTACTTGTCAATCTTATTGACATGTAAATTATCTTTTGTATAAAGGGGGGCGTGTTATGGACACCACAGGGGGCACTCCTAATTAGCCACATAATAAACGGAGTATCTAGTAGTGGAAATATGCACATCAATCGTAAATTGACACCCATATTGCCTGATGTAAGATTTCCATGTGCAAGGAAATATTGTTTTTAGAAAATGAAAATCAATGAATTTAAGAATTCACGAAAATGCCCTTTTTAATAAAACCAAGAAATTTTGTGGCCAAGAATTTAAGTGAATTTACAGTAGTTACTAAAGAAGTCACTGGTTGCTATACAAAATCTAGTTTCCTAGGAAGTCACTACCTGCCATGAAATTCAATGGTAGATTCACTCGTTGCTATGGAAAGCTAATGTTTACTATGGAAGTCACTAATTACTAATTACTATGGGTGTGATCTGTTCATCTGTATGTCACATGTGTTCTGCGCCTTGATTGGTCACTACCCCCCCCCCCCCTTTTTACCCACTCTACAACCCTCCTACCTCTCCAGAACAATGTAAACTGCATCATTTTCTCTTTTGGAACATGTTTAAATATTTGATATATATGCTTTAAATTCAATTTCCTTCATTTCCTGCAAAAAAAATATACAATGATACATATATATTTAGTAAATGGTATGCTACTTGCCGCACTTTTTTCAGCACTCATCTTAATGTGTACTCCGTAACTCCAACATTTTTTCACCAAACTTCACTATTAAGTATCAAATAGTAGGTTATTGATTACAATGATTTCAAATTATAAGAAAATATGTAATCTCAAAGTCACCGCAAGTATAAGTCGACAGTGATGTGACCACTGGGTTTTTGTGAATATTACCTTATGAGAAAGAGGATATAAGAAAAGATGCTAACAATTATTTTTGAAATAGCTAAATACTTGATTTATTTACATTATGTCGTTACTTTCGGCAGCCTTAGATTATGCTTGTACGGTCCGCTTTCTTACATATTTATTTGAGAAAATTGCGGAATTTACAACTTGATGATCTCATTTAACTTACTGATGACTTTAGATAATACCAATCAGATGGTAATATTTTTGACTTCAAATTTCTTTCAAAATCTGTTCAACGATTAATTTTATCAAACTGCAGCAAAGACAATTTGATTTGGTTCACTTCATTAAAAGAGTACTGTGAAACACTGCAGGGCGTAAGTCTATTGTGTACTGTCAAAGTCTCCCAGCATTATCTAATGTAATGGTACCTGACTAACAGCTTAGGGTGTATCATTTCTTGTCTTTAATTGGCTAATTGGCAAGTGAAAAATATCAGCGTTTTTTTTTTAAGCACTATATGAATTGTAAGCGCATCAGATTTTCTATTCTGAAATAAAAGTAGATTGGTGCCGATGTACTAAAAGCGTCTGGGGAACTTCCTGCATACAACAATGTCCTTATTATGTGATCAAATCAACTCATAAATATCTCTGAAAAAGCAAACATCTCTCTTACTAGAGGTCATGACCTTTAGACTCACACCCAGCTATTGAATCTTTTTTTTTTAAATTGTATAACATGTACACATGTTCATTAGTAACATGTACACAATCATGTTCATAAGACATGCCAATATGAGTTGTTTTCCTTTTAGTTATTTAACTAAGATTGAAGAAAAGCCATGACCTCCTAGGAAGGGCCAATTTTGACCCAAAAGCTATAGTTTGAATAATATTAATAGAGGATCACTAGACAATGTTTCATGCTAAATATCTGAGCTCTAGCCTTTGTAGTTTTGAAGAAGAAGATTTTTTAAAATTTAACTATATGAGAAAAACAAATTTCCCTTGGGACGGGCCAATTTTGACGCCAAAGACTTGTACAAGTTTCAGGAGAATACCTACAGTAGTTTTTTATAAAAATTTACCAAGAATTTTCTTTAAGCTAAAAAAAAGTCCATAATTCTGTCAAAAACCATGCTACATTTGTTTGCCTTGGACAGTGGCAAGTAAAGTTACAAGTAAATATCATAAGTGGTTGATAAGATATGATAATGCATGCAAAACTTTAACAGGTTGAGTACAGTAACCAGTACTTTGAAAATGGAAGTTATTTGGTTTTAAAGGTGTGAAGTTGAATGGGAAAGGATTCAATAGTGCAACATGAACAACTAACTTAAAATCATTAAAACTTTTTCATGTCTTACCTTCTACAAATGTTTCTGCTTCACTCAGAAAATCAAGTACATCTTTGTATATTTCATTTATATTCTTCTTTGCTTGGCCAAACAGTTTGAGTGGTGATGAGGGTGACATTCTACCATTCCCATTACGTCCATTACCCATACTTCTATGTCCAGAAACACCAGCATCTCCAGAACCTTAATTAAAATACATAATATAATCTTAGCTTGGCTTCTAACCAAATATTCTTATTCAAAATATTTGTCGCTATTCATATATGAATGGCTGCAATCAGCAATCAAAGGAATGTTTCTGGTCATCAATATAGAAGTCAGAAGATTGTCTTAGAACATTCTATGAAGCTCAGCCTAATTTCTATTTGAAGTCTTTTCAGTCATGATCAGGTGGCCCTGTATTGTTCACCTTACTTTATAATGATATAGACATGATAACAAGGGACAGATAATTTTGATCTAACTATCAAATAACTAGAGATTATCAAAGTATTGCAAGCATTATATACAAAGTCTCCTACCGGTTAGAATCCCACAAGAATAAGTAACATCCCTAATAAATGGGTCCAAATTTAATATACAAATGTATTGCACATTTCTTGTTGAGTATTTCCAAGTTACTTTAATCCTATCACACATAGAACTGTACTGTTTATGTGAATGAATGTTAATCTTAATTAGTAGAAAGAACAAGACTTCACCCAAAGTGATGATGCCACCTAAAAAGGATTCTTAAGCAGCATGCGTATTATGTAAGAAAAGCAGAAATCAAAAAATCTTAATTGCCAATATTGTCTATTGAATAATTGTTACCCGTAAACTCTAATTGTGATAAAGTGAACTTCAAAATGGCAGTGTGACCTTGACTTTTGAGGTAGGTACATGATCATTGGATGCACACATCGTCTTGATGTGGTAGACATTTATGCCAAGTTATTCTAAAATCCTATGATGCATGACAAAGTTACAGCCCAGACACGATTGTGTGTACCTATTAATTCTAATTGTGTTAATGTGAAACTTCAAAATGTTAGTGTGACCTTGACCTTTGAGGTAGGGACGTAATTCTTGAACGCGACACAATGTCTTGATGTGGTCGACATTTATGCCTAATTATTTTAAAATCATTCGATGCATGACAAAGTTATAGTCCAGACACGAGTGTGTGTACCATTTTATCTTATTGCGATAATGAAAAACTTCAAAATGATAGTGTGACCTTGACCTTTGAGGTAGGGACGTGGTTCTTGGATGCGACACATCGTCTTGATGTAGTAGACATTTGTGCAAAGTCATTTCAAAATCCCTCCATGTATGACAAAGTTACAGCCCAGACACGAATGAAGTGGGGACGCACAGACGGACGGACGAACACACAGACGGTGCGATTTTAATATGTCTCCCTTCGGAGGCATAAAAAGAAGAAAGAAAAAAAAGTTGCCCCTTCTGGGGTTTGAACCCACGCCCCTTTCAGTTCAATGCAGTTGACAGTGATTCAAGCCTATTTGAATACTCTTCAAGGTGGAGGTAATGCATTAGGGGTGGTCTACCTTAATAGCTTTGATAGTTTTATAATCATCCTACACTGCAACCCCCTGAAAGCTATCAGCATTTTAGTTTCTGAGAAGAGTTTTAAGAGATGTCATTTTTAAAGTCATAAGATGTACTTATGTATCTGTGACTCAGTGGTACCAATTATACAACCTTGGTTGAGGGCCACCACACTATTATACAACCTTGGTTGAGGGCCACCATACATATTATACAACATTGGTTGAGGGCCACCACACTATTATACAACCTTGGTTGAGGGCCACCACACTATCATTCCTGTAAAGTTTGGTTCCGATGTCCTCTCAAATGTGGCAGTTAAACAGAATAAAAGAATATTATTGATTGTTTACCTCTTGGGTCTGGGGTATCCATTGTCTGGTAATTAAACACTCCTGACATTCTCTAGTTTACAATTTAACTTCACTGAACATCTTTGTCATACCTATAAATATAAACAAGAGCTGTTTGATAGACTATTTCCAGTGCTATGTTGTATGATAGTAAAATAAGAGCCTGGATAATGTAAGAATTAATTTTTGGATCATCTAATAGACTCAGTCTGCAGACCACTAAAACTCTGCAGTGACATCATTTATGACTGGTGTGCAACAATCTCTATGTTACCAAATACTAAGAAGACAAAAGCAATGACAATCTCACCATCAAATTTTGTTTACAACACAATTAAATCAAGCAATCAAAACATTTTGAAAATGCAGACAAATGACATTGAAATTACTAAAACAAATTGGAATTTAGATTATAAATTATCATGGAATTGTCAAATAGAATGTCTCATTAAACAAGAGCCGTGAGTGCCAGAGGAGACATCCAAGCTAGACTAATTAAATACTGGACACAGTAAAGGAGACAAACCTACGAAAAAATATCAATTACGATATAAATATATTTCTGAATCAGTATCAAGAAAGCATATCTTTGCACCACATAATATGCATGTTACCATGTCAATAAAAGTTAAAAGGACACCCCTGAATCAATAAAGAAGTTACAGAAAAATAATGAAAATGCACCACATAATATGCATGTTACCATGTCAATAAAAGTTAAAAGGACACCCCTGAATCAATAAAGATGTTACAGAAAAATAATGAAAATTCTAAGTTTTACGGGAAGATTATTTGGAAAATATTGACGTTAGGAGTTATGAAATATTATATATAATTGTAAACATAGTCAGGATGGGAAAAATAAATACAATTCTTATACAGTTTTCTGAGTTTATAACAAGTTTTTCTGCAACAACAGTGTTTAGTGACTTAATAATATTGGATTTAAATACGTACAAACTTGTAAGTTTGGATACCAATGACGTTTTAAGATATTTATTGAATTTGAACTTTGGCAGTTTTAAAACCTTAATTATACTACATGGAGGTCAAGACCGAAGCGACAACATTGGTTGGATTCCAACTTTTAAATATACTGAAACAAAAAAGAAACTTTCTCCAAGTTTGAATGTAGATATGTTAGTACAGTTTTTCAATCCTTTTGAAACTCGATTTTTACGTTGAATAAACATATCGGGCTTTTATACGGGGATTAGCTGACCGATTTTGCAAACAAAACGAGTTTTACAAGCTCCTACATGTATATAAGTGTGTACATCTAAGTGGTACCCTTGAACAACTTGCACATACTCTCGAAAGTTTCTTTTTTGTTTCAGTTCAGTATATATATATACATATATATATATAGACACAAACACACACACATACACATTTAAAACATATATATTTAAAGTTTGAAGATGATCCATTAATACATGTAAGAAGAGTAAAATAAATTTTTTTAAGGAAAATAATACCGGTAAGTTAAAAATCTGTGATGTGTCATATGATGTGGTTGATGATAAGGAACATATATTTGAAGTCGAAAACCAATTTTTGTACATTCATTGTTTACTCAAATGATTCAAGCTGTATATAATCAGGGTTTTCATATTTGAAAATCAGTTTCTATCGAGCAACTCTTTCCAATTCAATGCCAAAATTATTTTGTGATAAGTTAAAGTACAATTTGAAGTGTCCAAGTTTTGCATTAATTTTTTGAATAGCTATAAATTAAGGTAAATTAAGGAAGCAATTATAAGTGATCAAATGTGTCAGCCTGGTTCTGTCGGCGCTCCGGGCTAAATTGTCCTCTAGGTGATGAAATGTTTTATCAAAACAACATTTTTTGAGTGATAAGCACAAAGGAATCGACTAATTTCTTGCATTGTTATTCGGTGTTTGTGAGAAATACACTGCACGAATTTTGGAAACGAAATTTAATAGGTACCATACATATTAATAAAAATACACGCGGTTAGCATCGTAGTAAGTGTTTCCAAATGTTTTGTTTAAATTCAATGATAGCGATAGGTAGATACATGTATATTTATATACATTTATATCTAAATAAACACAAACTTTTTTGTGCAAAGAGTTCCACCCATTATGTTCTCTTCAAAGAGGATGTATGCGGACAATGTCTGATTTCTCAATTTGTTCTGTCCCGGTTATAACGAGGAACCACGCGAAGTCCCAACGATCTCGTTGTAATCCAGAGTGCACTGTACTACTGCTTTATCAAAATGACAACGCTTGCATTTCCTTCGTATATTTTTTTGACAAAATGCCAAACCATCTTTATTAAAGTAAATATAGCCCAGGGTTCTAAGATATCAAGGTACTAAAAGTTTATTAGAAAATATTCAAATATAAATATCAAATTAAATTTATATGAATGAGATTTTTCTTCTATCTAATAAGTGCACCTTTTCCAGAACTGTTTGTCAAAAATTATTTCAAAAGATCCAATTAAAATGACATTTTTTAAACAATTTCCAATGTCTGCCAATTTGGGTAACTTCAGAGAAGGTTACTATGGACTTGGTATCACGGAATTCCCCCAAAATGCAAGTATGGAAGGATAGATGGGTCAAAATGACTAACTAATGTACAAGTTAAGTTGTGAAAAACTTCGTACAGTTATTAAACTTGCTTTAAAATCCAAACTATAAGAACAGACGATATGTCAGTATATGACTTACCCTAAAATTCCTATTAAACGCCCCCAAGGCCAAACATTTTCCAAAAGGGGGACTATTATTACAACACAGCTTTTCCAAAATCCAAAAATCACTGTAAATACATTTAGTGTTAGCAAGTGTTGGTAGCAACATTAAAAAGTGTTAAGGTTTTAAAGCTCATATTATACATATTTGTGTTTAATTTTACTATAAAATAAAATGGATTCTGAATGATTTGAATAAAATTATGGCTTTTATTATGAGTTAAGCACTGATGAGTAGATTGTTTTCCTTATATCAAAAGGCCTAGGGGGTCTTTATTAGGTGAGGGGCCTTTATTAGGAATTTTACGGTATGTGATTATAAAATATTCTAATTGACTGTGTAAAAACAATTAAAGAAAATAGTAGTCAAATATGAAGATTTTATAAATAATTTTCTTGCCATGAATACATTCATTATTAACAAAATTAAATTTATTCAAATTATTGACAGAAGAAAATGAATTTAGTGTGCCAGTTATAAAAATATCAGCATCATCGTGTGTTGCTTTAACTTAGCAGTCACAGAAAATGTTAATACTGTGTTATCAAAGAATCTGTGATATCATAGGAACCCTGTATACAAGGAGAAATGCAAGTTCTTGGTTAAAATCCCCATTTTAAAGACACAAAATAACATATGCATTTTTGACTTTTATCAGTTTTTATATAATTTAGAAAGTGCTGTTAGGCTAGGCAATACAGTGTGTCCTGGCTAGCATAAATATATAACTTACGTAATTATTTCAACAGATAAATGCACTATTTCAGAAATAAATCTTATTTTCGTAGCCGCGATCTTATTTTCGCGAAAATAGCTTATTTTGCATGTAAATTTTGCATGTAAAGGGAGTTGATAAAGCAGTGACAGAGTTTCTGTAGCCCGTATATTTGCAGGTATTTTTTGCCGGAGGGACGAAATATGTTGTTTTGGGTCTCGGACCACTATGGATTTTTAGCTTTTGCGGAATGAATTGGAATTTTTTAAACTGCCTGACTATTGCACATGGGATGATTTCATTACAGATTTGCAATGTTATGACATATATGTTCTTAACTAAATGTATTTTCGTTTTCCAGGTTGTGTAGTTTGGGATCAGATTTATCAGACATATTGATTGTAGGACATTGACGGCAGAAACTTGAAATTTAGTGTGGAGTGCTACCTAAACATACATACATGTATACTCGAACCCCATGATACCGGTGACTCCACGGTTCCGGTATATTCACAAATCTCGTGATATTATTGTCAACGCCACCTACCGAGTGTTTATATTGACATGCTCCCAGTAAAATTGGCTATTTCAAAGTTTTTAAACATTTTCATGAGTTTTTGAAGGAAATATTTCACATATCCTATATAATTCACCTTATTTTTATTTTACTATCCTATTTCTCCATTGCATAAATTGGTCTCTCTACAAAACACTTTTTTTTCCAAAAAAGTAAAAAATGACAGGTGCTGACGTCATTCAACCTCCATTACATGTCACTTGACCTTTTGACATCATTTTTTGCGGGAAAAAATTAATCTATGGAAAGCCATTAGTGCATATAAAATAGTTTGTGAAAATTAAAGTCAGTTTCATTCAGTCTTTTAAGGGAGCCTGTGTAAAGTGCCATATTGATATTTAGTCTTCATCATATAGAAATAAAATTGATTCAATGATATAAAAGGACCAGAAAATCACAACAACACTCAGGGCCTTTTTACCCTCTATTATAGGGGCCGGTATAGGGCTGCTTCCCCAAAGAAAATTTCTTTAAAATCATGCAGTTTTCCCCAAATATTGAATTTACATCAAGTTTTTTCTTCCCCTTTTGCAAATATACCATGTAATTTTTCCCCAAAATTAAGGGCTGGGCTGCTTCCCCAACTTGTGAAAAAATGCCCTGAACACTAAAATTAAGTGACTCCACGGTTCGGGTATATTCACAAATCTCGTGATATTATTGTCAACGCCACCTACCGAGTGTTTATATTGACATGCTCCCAGTAAATTGAGTAATATTGGCTATTTCAAAGTTTTTAAACATTTTCATGAGTTTTTGAAGGAAATATTTCACATATCCTATATAATTCACCTTATTTTTATTTTACTATCCTATTTCTCCATTGCATAAATTGGTCTCTCTACAAAACACTTTTTTTTCCAAAAAAGTAAAAAATGACAGGTGCTGACGTCATTCAACCTCCATTACATGTCACTTGACCTTTTGACATCATTTTTGGCGGGAAAAAATTAATCTATGGAAAGCCATTAGTGCATATAAAATAGTTTGTGAAAATTAAAGTCAGTTTCATTCAGTCTTTTAAGGGAGCCTGTGTAAAGTGCCATATTGATATTTAATCTTCATCATATAGAAATAAAATTGATTCAATGATATAAAAGGACCAGAAAATCACAACAACACTAAAATTAAGTGAAGGGAATTTTTGAATCCAGCCACATGGTATAATATACACCTGTAATTGGGAGGAAAAGGTTCTAAAACAGAGATCCCTTGGGAGTCATAAAAGATGAACAGTAAATTATTGAAACACACGTTTTTATGTTGTTTTAAAGTATTTTTTTTTCAGATTCTGATATGAATACAAGAATGCTAAAATGATATATTTGCTATTAAAACTGCAATGGCTTTCCATATAAATAACATTTTAACCAGTGCACCGGTAGCATGAAGTGGGCAGCACGAAATACCCAAATATACCCAAATACACCCAAATATGCCTAAATATACCCAAATATTGCCCAATTATTCTTAAAATAAATGTTTTATCCTAAAAAAAGAGCTGTTTTATCATGAATACAATATACATTTTCACTAAGATATAATCAACCATACCCAAATATACATTTCCCTATCATTGTGTTTTGAACCAAAATACAGTCTATATGTACACCATTAAAGCTATTTTTTTAAATAACATGGACACTTGTATATGATATGAAATTTCAACAAAATTACACCTTAAAAATGTAAGTGTAGACAACAAATATCATATCATAAGATAAGCAAATGTCACAACTTTATTTTCTTACAACATCGTAACTGTCCATTTCAACGGAATGAATGAAAATTATAGCAGGCTAAGTCATATTATATTTAATAAATATTTATTTATTTCTTATTATAATCTATATTTTATACAAACAAAAATAAATATTGCTATATTTGGGTATATTTGGGTATATTTGGGTATTTCGTGCCGCCGCATGAAGTCTGTTTAACTACGTCATACAAAATGGTCGACCATTGTTTACATTCGCAATGAGCGAGAATTTCAGAGTAACAGATCTCTGTAATGTATTTTTAAGAGGATTACATGTTAATGAAGTTGTTTATTCCTTCTTTTTTTTCAAGTCAGTAAAATTTTATCTGAAAAATACCTTGTATAAAATATGTACACCGGTATCGTGGAGACCCGGGCTACAAGGATTGGCACCTTAAACTGTTAAAAGAAAAAAGGGCAATAAAAAATGCGAAACTCGATTATACTATCGGCAGACAATCGATTGTGGTGTTCCGATTATCGATAGTAATTGTTTAGTCCGATAGGCGATACCCAACACCATTTTTAATTTTAACGACACACTAAATAATCATAGGCACTTGGTTTTCGGGATAAAATAACCCTTTGAGAGGTTTGTAGAACTCAAATATAAATTTATTATAATTGAATGTTACAATTTTTTTAACGTAGATGTCTCTTTTCTAAAACAGTCATTTTTCCGATATTACTAAATGTTTTTTTAGTAATATCGGAAAAATGACGGTTTTAGGAAAGAGACATCTACGTTAAAAAAATCATTACATTCAATCAAATTTGAGTTCTACAAACCTCTAAAAGGCTTTTTATCCCGAAACCCAGTGCCTATGGAAATAATCGAATTCGAAAATTATTCGAAGGTCATACAAGCCTGGTACAGTTTATCGGCAATGCATTAGATGTAAACGGGTAACACACCTAAAAGAACGTCTATTGTTCCGTTTAGAATACTATTTTATCAAATGACTTTACGATACAGAGCATATTAAACATTATAAAGAAAAAAAAAATACCGTGCCTCGCAATAACAATCGCAACTTCTCGGGTTAGGCCAAGTATTCCGAATGTAGGGGGTCTCCTCTCGATATTTCCCGGTCTCTCCCGGTCTATTTCGACCGCCGTCAATAGGTACCTGACAGATGCACTCCCAGTTTGCCTTCCCCTTCTTATTTGCGGTGGCTACTAAATATGTATGCAAGTCGATTTTTGTGATAATAAAATTTTGATACACAGGAGGTCAATGAGACCATTATATGCATCATGGACGAAAATAAAATAGGTGATGAGCTTGACTGACTGATAAGATTATGCAACTCGGACTGATACCTGACACATATTTTTCGTATGCATGACCGACATGCACGAGCATTCTTTTCAGACAATATGAAGTTGGCTCATATGACTGTGTGTGTACCACACTTGCAAAAATTTATATATGTATATAATTATGCACATAAAACAATCTTCAAACATCGAAGAATATGTAAAATGTGTACTGCAAATATTTGTGCACATTATATTTAATCAATAAATCATATGCATTCATTTTTTATTGGAAAATTTGACTTAGAATTTATAGAAAATAAATTTCTAATTACCTCCCTTTATTTACATGAAATGTTAAATTCGTAAATATCTTTATAAATAATGCTTATTGGAACTTACAATATTGACAAATCTTAATTTGAGCATCATATTTATGAAATAATACCATGAAAAAATTGTGTTACAGGATCTTTAAACATGCATGATTTTTACATGCATTACAGTATATCTTTTTTTTTATATCTATCTGTTTACCGACCCGCTGTCTCATCTTTTAGGGAAAATGAAAAATAAAAATCTGAAAAAAATGTATACTGTATGGGGGGATTATAAAACATCGACACGAATAAGTGGTAAGTGTTCCAGCCTTAAAGATCACATTCTCTGCAATTATAAAGAACGAGTGTTTCAGTTCCTCTTGGGTTAAGCGATCTTGAAAGACTCCAACAGACTGGAGTTCTTGCTTTTATTCTTTAAATGTTAATAACGCATGCACTAATTTTCCGAAAATTTTCATTGATTTTTTTTTACATAAGATTGCTCTATTTAAGGAAATTAGACTAAATTCAAACAGAACTTTGGGATTAAACTTTTCTAGAATTAATACAAAGGCGAGAGAAAGCATATGCATAGTATCGAAAAAGTCGTAGTTAGTCTGACAAGATATTGTTCAGTTAACTCCACAATGAAGTTCAACGGTCTATAAAATTGGTAAAATCTGAATACAAGTACTTGAAAGGGAACATATTAAATAATAAGTACAATAATAAGAAACTTCGGCAGAATATCGAATCCCTTGGTTACAGTAACAATAGAAAGTCCAAATATTGTTCTGTCTATCGATGGTGAAACTTATCATGATCTTTGTATTTAAGTGCAAGTCATTTTAATAACTCTTTACAAATATTGCATCTAATTAAGTACAGAAACTCCCGACAGCAAAATCTGTTTAGTGTGGCATCTGATATCATTAAGCATTTTTCATCTTCACCATGTTAGTGAGGAGTTTGTATATAAACTTATAAAGAATTGTGTAAGCGTGTGTAAACATTGATTAATGGTGATCTTGGAATGATTGACGTTGAAGAATTATATATTTACTCTTTAAAGATATCTTGGATAAGACGAATTTTAATCAATAATGATAAATGGATAAGTTTAGTATGCTCAATTTTAGAGAAATTGATTATTTGTGGTCTTGGTTATATAGAAATAAAGTTTAGTGAAATAAAAAATGGTTTCTGGAAGGGCACCTTGACTGCATATTATATGTTCTGTAAACTTCTAGAAGCAAATGAAAATGAGTTATTTTCTTATCTAATTTTCTACAACCCTTTGATAACTATTGGAAATCAACCAGCGTTCTTTAAAACCTGGTTTAATGCAGGTGAACATGTCATAGGTGATCTTTTGAAACCGGAGGGACACTTTTATGGTTTAAATGAATTTAATGACAAATATAACATAAATTCTAACTTTGTGAATTATCTTGTATTGTAAATATAGTGTATCCAGTTTCCTTTCAACTTATGGCAGAGCATCAACGCCCTTCAAACACCTTTTATACCACCGTTCTAAAATCTACTAAGGGCACCCATCCTATGTACGAACCAAGATACATTGTAAAACCTACTTTATTGGTTTAAATCGTTCTTGTCAAGACGGTATCAAAATGTAAGTATCGGTAAAGATGTTTCAGACTCAATTCCTATTACATGTGGGGAAATATTTTGAGTCCTCTTCTATTTCTCTGCTACGCAAACAAAAAATTTGTTTGAACTAATCAAACTTGAATCGAGAAATTTGCCACTACAAACAACAAACAGTGAGTGATTAAGGGAAAGTATCTTATATTCGGGCAAAACAACCCCGCCCACGTCATCAAAAGCAATGGTCGAACACTGTTGTTGTACATTTCGATCGTTGAAATGTCATTTTTGTTAACTTTTTAAATAACATAATTTATACGATTGTGTCTATATTTGCATTGTATTTCTGACATTAAAACAACATAAATTACTTATTAGATGCTAAACAGATAGATGGTCATATTAGTATATCATAGTGATTGACACAATAAGAAAGGGCACCTGAGGTCTTCCTCCACCAGTAAAGCTGGAACGTCACCAAATGACCTGTGCTAACGGTGTGACGTAAAATGAGAATTACAGACGTCTTTGAATGAAATTAAAATTTAACAAAATACGTACCTTCATTCTATATGTTTATATTTTACATGTTGTCTATCCATGTGATATTAATTGAGCTATTCAATTGTTTTGGCAAAAACAAAGTAGAGAGATTATTGCCTAAACAATATTGTCTCAGAATTGAATTTTAACCTAAATAAAACGTATCCCAGAATCTGTCGCATTTGCCTTTGGCTGTATCAGTCTGGTCTTTTTAGCAAACATCATCAAGTAAATAACCTTATCCATGTAAGTTTCTTTAGTGGACTATTGGCGAAAGCAACATTTTTGACATTGTTAGTAGCAAGTATGCTACACAAACCAGTACTGTCGTACATGTAATTAAATATAAAATGAAATATGTGATAAATCTACTTCACATTTTTATTTAATAAACATTCCTACAAAGAAAATTGTTAAAAACGTATACATGTACGATATTTAATTGAACATTTTGATACATTTTGCATGCGTTATAGCGTTTTCTAGAGAGCATATATTGTTTAGCGTATATCATTTTGCGTGTGTCGGCTTTTTTCAAATGTGTATGTTAATTAAAGTGTGCGTTCAAAGCAAGCGTTTTCAGAGTAATCTGGAACGTTCACGTACAGGGGGTCGAACGTATAGCGGTGCGATACTCCTTTAAGCGAGATGAATTCATGCGATACGCCCTAATGGCGGACGGGAGCGAAAACGAAAGTAGGTATGAGCATGTTTTTTTCCAAGTATTTGTTGTCTATTGTAATTTTTTGAAGAATAGCATTGTGCATGCTGATCAGAACTTATAATTGTGCATGAATACCAAAATAAAATACTAAATTTTATAGAATTGAGGAAGTTATTGAGGTATTTGTTGCTGAAAATTCAACCGTCAACCCGATATGCACATGCAAACGAATGTTTCAGTCGTTATAAAACGAGATATTCGATTAGTTTAAGTCCTGACATGTTTATTTTTGAAAACAAAACGATATACAAGAGTAGTTTTCCATATCTATCCGAAAATATATAAAATATTTCCAGTTTTCTTACTGTACGCCTAATATTTGGTCCGATAAACTAACTGTACGCACAAATGTTGGTGTGTTTTTCTGTAGCAACTTCCACATTACAGTACATTCTTATTCAATATTGATGAAATATCAAGTTTTGAGTTTGTATGTTAATCATATGTAAATCACAGTGTCGATTAATTTAAAATAAACAACAGTGTGAATTAATGTATTATACTATGATATAGTTAATTTAAATATTCTTTTCTCACAAAGGTTAATCATTAAAATAAGATAAGTTATTGCACAGAAATTTGAAATTCTATCAAATAATCAATAGTCACGATTATATTCCTTTTGTTCCTTCCATTTATTCAGTAATGGTTTTATCATTTAATAATATGTTTTTCTATCATTAATTACATATTTATGTTGTCAGAAAAAATAACTTTAATTAAAAAAGCAACATATGAGAAATGGATCTACTATCGTATTACTTGGACTGGTCGAAAAACGCTCCCATCCATTCTTATTTTCATTCAATACCTTGAGAAGTACATGTAATAAATTGTATGTTTTTTGTTTGTTTGTTTTTTGGGGGTTTTTGTTGTTTTTTTGCTTTTTTTTGCAATGGAACTTGAAATTTATAAAAAAAAAAATAATACTGGTTTGATTTCCTCTATGGATTGGGTGTTATATATTATATACAGAGCACATCATTGTATTTCAGTTATTCTGATGTTTGTCAGTTGCTCTGTCGCTTCGAATATATAACTATACTACTCCATAACCAGTGTATACCAAACAGCTTTGTGTATTTGCTTATAAAAGCATTCATACTTTTAGTGATTTAACATATCTGCCAGAAGTTTTACTTTTAAAACTAGGCTTTCTCTGCAACATTTAATGTATAGCATTACCCCTCACTTTTTGTAAATATTCATTTCCACTGGGAGTTACTCTTACTGTTAAAGCAAGTGCACCATGTGACTAAGAGAATTGTACTCAGTACTTTTTAACAGTATAAAATCTGGGCAAGTGTTTTTTTATGTAAATAAAAGTATTATAGATTACAGTATCTGTTCGGGAAATAAAATAAATAACACACAAGCGTTTGTGAGTAACAGTAAAAATATCAACCTTCCTAAAAATACTGTTTCCCTCGGCTAACACCTTGGCTAACAGTATTTTCCTTGGGATGATATTTTAACTGTAGCCCACAAACCCATGTGTTATTTATATACTACTCCATAACCAGTGTGACTCAATCTAATAATTTATACTCAATAGCTTTTTGTTTATTTGCACATGTGTCAGCATTTGTACTTGTGGTACTTTACCTCAGGGCTGGGAATCAAAACTGCGTCGTATCCTACAAAATGTAAACAAACGCCGCCATCTTGGAACGAAAAACGTATGTTTTTGT